TGAGCTTGGACCTCAGTTTTCCTGTCCTTCCCAAGAAATGCCTCTGTTCTCCCCTTACACACACACACACACACACACACACACACACACACACACACACACAGAGCCTAGGGGCTGGATTGCCTTGCTGACCCCATGCTGATGGGACAGGACCATAGCAGTGTCTCTTGGGAAACCCATGCAGCAGTCATATAGGTGTGCACTGGCTTTGATCTCAGTACTTAAGGATCATCTGGGGCTCAGGAAATGGCTCTGGTGGTTGTCATGGAAAGACTCTGCCTGGTGGCATGTTGCCCATGTACAAGGGGGTGCTCATGTGAGCAGGGTCTGGAGGAGACTGAGCCAGGGTAGCTCCAGAGGCCTAGATACCATTTAGGCTTCCTTGTGGTATGTTTGTTAGTTATTGGTTTTGCAGCTTGGGGCAGAGTGAAGGGCCAAGCCCCACCCCTTTCCCAGCCTGAGCCCTATCCCTTACCAGAGCCTTGCTCCAACTGCAGAGCAGAGCTTCTCTTGGTGTGACATTGCTGCCTTAGAGGACATTTGTCTGTGTCTGAAATTGATCCCTCTGTTGTCACAGGTGCTCCCAGCATCTGTGATTAGAGGCTGATGTGCTGCTGACTGTCCTGCAGTGTGGAGGTCTAGAAATTGTCCTGGTGTGGCAGAGAGACTAGGCAGATGTGAACCCCCCAGGTCCCCAGCTGGGCCTGGGCCCACAGGCTTTCCTGACTGGCAACACTATCTGGCTGCCCACGCAAGGGAAGGTCTGGTTCCTCTGCAGCTGAGAGCAGGGACCAGGCTTGGAAGGGACCTGGTTGATAGCAGGGTTGGGTGATACAGGGCCTGGGCCTGGGAGCTGGTGACATTTTGGCAAGGAGGCTCCGGAAACTGGGTGCACAGGTGGCTTGGTACATAGGCAGCCTGATGGAGGATGCTCAAGCAGAGGGTGGCAGGGCTGGGATCTGGTCCTGTCTCTGTTAACAGTAGCTGGAGCCTTCCCTATGCGCACTTTTGTTTCCTCTTCCATTAAAGGACTTATTAGTGGCACCAGCGTTTTGCTAGGGTCACTGTGTGAGGTGAGAGATACAGGGGCAGCAGCACAGGATGTGGGCTGGACCTAAGCACACGTGGCATATGCAGGATGGAGAAACAGGGGGGGAGGGCTGGCACTGTCACCTAGCAGGTGACCTGGAACTACTTGGGGGTGCAGAGGGCTGGTTCACGGGAGAATCAGGACAACACAGGCCAGGATGTGCCTGGTCCCCCACCTCAGTTCTCAGGGTGTGGCCAGTGCTAGGAAATGAAATGAAAACTATGAAAAGAGATATGACATTTCAACAATAAGAAATAAAACGGTCATTTTTATAGATGACATGATCACTTATACACAAATCTTTTTTAAATCTACAGACTAACAGGATTAGCATGTGGATGGGCCAGAGATAGAGCTCATTGGTACAGTGCCCTCTTGGCAAGTGTGAGGTTGTGAGTTTGATTCCTGGTACAGAAAAAAGAAATTAGTACACGGTCTTAAAAGTTAAAGAATATAAAATTGTATTTTAAGCATCCAAAGCAACTAGTAAATAACATTTGAAAACAATGCCCCTTATAATAGCTTTAACATGCTTCAAATACCCAGGAAAACATGAAAGAGGTCCAAGATCTTTGCTAGTGAAACAAGACAAAGACCTAAGCTGAAAGCCAGCCATGAGGGTATATAACTATCATCACAACACTTGGGAGGCTGAGGCAAGAGAATCGCTGCCAGTTCCTGGGCAGCCTGGGCTCTGTAGTGAGTTTAAGGCCCGCCTGGGCTATGTAGCAAGACATTGTCTCAAAAAAAAAAAAAAAAAGCCATATAACCCAAGCAAGTAGATCCAGCCTGATGGGAAGAAGAGAAACTGTTACATCAGGAAGATGGTTTTGAAGGGGTCAGGGGTCCTCAAGGACCTCCTGTCTCCCCTTGGGTATCTCTGGGTTCCTCAACTCCACTCCTATGAAGAACAGGGAAGTGGGGTGCACCTGGCTCAGAACTGAAGGCCCCCAGTGGAGAACAGGGAAGTCAGGTCTGGTGCAAAATGATGAAATCAGAAATGAAATTAATGCAAAGCAAAGGTTTTATTTATAAGGTTGGGAATGCAAGGAACAGCTGCAGGTAACAGGACACGCTACAAGGCAGGGGGAGTTTGACCAAATTTCCCAAAGGTCAGGGGAGCACTGAACTCATGGGGTAAGCTGGTTTCTAAAATAGCTGTTTCACTGATCATGTAATCTGGGCCAACTAGGGTTTTAGCCTCTGGTACAGGGTCTTGCCATGCAGTTTGGACTCATAGTGATCCTCCAGTCTTAGCCTCACCAGTGCTGAGATTACAGGTGTGTGCCACCACATAGGGTTTCAGGGCCAGCACTGTGTGACTGGGATTCTGCAGCCAGCACAGCTTACGGTGCCAGAGATTGAACTCAGGACTTTGTGCTTTCCAGGCAGGTGCTTAGACTGCTGAGCTATCTCCCCAGGCAAGGTCTTAGCCTTTGTTTCTGAGTTGAGGAAAGTCAGGGGCCTCAGGAGCACATGTGAGTACATGTAATAATTTCACAAGAACCCACTTCCTTGAGTACCCACCATACAATAAGCTTGTGGTAAGTATACAAACATCAGCCATCCAGGCCATATACCACATGATCCCTACCTACACCACCCTCTAATGATCCCTCAGAACCATCTAGAGTTTCTTGCCAAGTGAACCAAATCCCTTCCACACAACCCTCCACTCCTTCCTGGACCACTGGCCACAGGCAAAGGAATTATGCAAACAAAAGCTCACAGTAAATGTTTCTCATCATGCTTGGCTCCAAATCACCCATCTTAGGGCCAATAAAACCCGCCTTTCAGCTGGTGAATGGTTAAACAACCTATTTTGTGGTACATGTGTGGACATCAAGAAGAAATGGTTATGGACATACATGCATAAGCGTCAAGCAACTGTGTGACATGATAAAAACAGGACTCAAAACCAATGATATACATACTCTGCAACTATTTCACACCCTTCTGGAAAAAGCAAGAAATCGCGGGGCCAGAGTGGATCCATGTTAACCAGGACCCGAGGATAGGAGAGATGGATATAAACAAGCAGTGAAGGAGAACTCGGGGGGGGGGGGATGGAAAAGTCTAGCTGGGGGTGGTCAGGGATGAAATGCACTCCACAGAGTGTACATGGAGACACTCATGTACAGATTGCCAGACCCTATCCAAAGTCTCTGACTATCAAGTCCTCAGTGAGGCCCAACATTTACATTTCTGTCCAGTTTGCAGCCATATGGGTCCTGCTGCCAGAGACCCTGTTGTAGGAACCCTGTGTTGTGCCGATCTGCAGTCTATAGATCACAGGGCCCCACCCAACTCCACAGCTCCAGGGCCCTGAATAAAGCAGCTCATGTTGGCATATGACTATACACACCCCCGTATACAGTCAGCACCCCATAACTGTGGGTTCAACTGATTGTGTCAAAACTCTGAAAAAGAACGGCACCCTCGCCGATAGTGTGCAGCCTTTGTTTCTTGTTGTCCCGAAGTGGTGTGAGGAACTCGCATCCATTGTGTCTGTGCTACACAGGGTGACAGGAGCGCTCTTGCTTGGGTGCTGTCACATGGTACCATGCCAAGTGAGGGCCCGAGTGTCTGCAGATTGGGGTGTTTTGGTGGTTCTGGGCACTCAGATGACTGTACCTTAAATCGCGTTTAGTTTCTAATAAGACCTAGTACAGGGCCAGTGCTCTGCCCATGGCTGCATGCTGCGTGTCTGGGGAGGAAAAGAAGAACATTGCTCAGGTACAGACATAGAACATGGCTTCTGCTCCTAGCTGTTCTCCCCTGCAGGTGGCAGAATCTGCAGATGTGGAATCTATGGATAGAGAGCTGCCTGCCCTTTTTGTTTGTTTGTTTTTATAGTCCTAGATTGGAACCCAAGGCTTTTGCTAAGCTCCCCAGCTCTTTTCATCTATATTTTTTATTATTTTAAAGCAAAATCTCACTGAGTAGTCACTAAATTTCCCGGCCCGGGTTTAAACTTGTGAACTTTTTGCCTCAGCCTCACACTGCTGGGATGGTGGCCTGAGTCACTATACCTGGCTATACTTTTCTGATGTTCGTAATAGATGAAAAATTTCCTAGTAACTTAAAAAAACCTCCCAAAAGATAGATTTCACTGCAGATTAGATACATCCCAGAAAGATGGGGGCTTCAGGAACCCCGAGGGTGAGGTGGGCTCTGGGTTGTGGAAGTCAAGAGTACTTTTCCCGGGGAGCTGGAACGTCCCCTTGGGGTGCCATGAATGTTGGAGGACATGGCTCATACACTGTAATGTGCAGGCCCCATGAGGTCACAGTTCGTGGGTCCACTCAGGACGCTGGTACAGTGCCACCTCTTGGCATATCAGCACCTGTGTGCATGTGTGCAAGCCCTCATCCCAGCCGGTGTGCAAGCACACCCCCAAGAAGAGCCAACAGACCTGAATCTCACCATTACTGTCAGTGCCTGGCTGTATGGTGGGAACATAGGTTGTCTTGTCTAGGCCTCAGCTTCCTAATCTGTGTGCTGGGGTCATTTCAGCAGTCCTGGGTATCTGGCAGCTGTGATATCTGGGGTGTGGTGGACACCTACAGAGCCACTCAGCCAGAAGAGTGCAGGTGCTCCCTGGGGACTGGCCATTGAGGACTCAACCCAGACCCAGGGCACTGGCACAGAGGAACCCTTGCACAACACTGGAAGGGTCCTGGAACCAGGCCAGAGGACAAGGACTCAGGAAAAGTCTCTCCACAGACGACCGGCCTTACTGCAAAGGCGGCGAGGACGTGGGTGGTGGCGACGGGGCCCTGGCCTGCCGCAGACAGAGCATCCCAGGTATGGCCTCCCTGCCCCTGCCCCCATGTGTCCTCTGTCTGGCCCTGGCCACGCTGCCTCACTGCCTACCTATTGCCCATCTTTGTCTCTGGCAGAGGAGTGCCGTGGTGTCACTGTGGTAGAGCTTACCAAGAGCGAGGGCAGCACACTGGGCCTGACTGTTTCAGGTGGCACCGACAAGGATGGGAAGCCCAGGGTCTCCAGCCTCAAGCCTGGGGGGCTCGCGGCCAGGTGAGCTGTGGTGTGGGCAGCAGACCAGGCCAAGTGCGGTGACAGAAGCAGAAAGTGTTCGTTCCTGAACTTGGCCTCTCTGAGGCCCCAGGCCCCGGCACTCCACTTGTCCCTTCGCTGTGCCATTCCCTCTCCCTGGGGCCTGTTCCCTGCGGTTCATCCTCTCCCGTGTGAGACAGGCCGCTGCTCTTCCGGGAAGCCCTCTGACCGTCCTGCTTGTGGTATGACCCTGGACCAGCGAGTGGCCTCTCTGAGCCTCTGTAGAATGAGAATCAGAAGCTCTCAAGGGTCCCAGGCGACAGGTGTGAATGCCAATGCCGGGCCACCAGTCACCATGTGCCGGCCTCACACAGGAGTGACCTGCTGACCGTGGGTGACCACATCCGGTCGGTGAATGGCATCCGCCTGGCCCGGCTACGCCATGATGAGATTGTCGCCCTGCTGAGGAACGTTGGGGAGCGCGTGGTGCTGGAGGTGGAGTATGAGCTGCCCCCGCCCGGTGGGTGCCTCACCTCGGAGGCCGGGCCAGGGCCATGTCAGGCGGGGGCGGGAGAGGTGTGCTAAGGCTGTTACCAGAGGCTGCAAAGCCCAGGCTGGCTATGGCTCTTCATAGCACAGGGAGATCTGGGGCCCTGGCCGGGTGTCATCCCTGGCCTGCTCGGAACCCGTAACCTTGGGGTCTGAATTCTCAGTGTTGCTCTGGAGCCTGGGCAAGTCTAGCCACAGACTGGAGCCCAAGGCCTCCTGGCTCCTGGAAGTGAGTGGGGCCTTCCTCTTCCTCAGGGGGTAAAGTGGGCATGGGGCGAGGGCTCCTCAACCCCCCCCCCATATTCCATAGGTCCTGAGGCTGGTTACCCAGCGCACCTGGGATGGGCTCTGGGAACAGCTGCCAGCATGGCACTTGCTGGAGACTCACAGGTCTCCCTCTCCTCTACAGCTCCGGAGAACAACCCCAGGATCATCTCGAAGACAGTGGATGTCTCCCTCTACAAGGAGGGCAACAGCTTCGGCTTTGTCCTCAGAGGTCAGTGTGGGAACCACCTGACTCAGGGACAAGGAGAGGCTAATATAGACTACTCCATGTACATTGGGCTTTGCTTCCAACTCTAAAGAACCCTAAACTATTAAGTGAAGTGTCCAGGGCTTAGGGAAAACGAGAAAGCCTCTGATACTGAAAAGGGCTGGGAAATCACTGTGGAGACTGAAAACAAGTTTGGAGCTGCCTTGCAATCAGAACAAAAAGGGAAATAAGATGAGATCTCAGAAAAGGAAGCAGAGAGATTTGGGACCTGGGTCCTGTCCCTTGGTCCACCTCTGGGGAAGTTACAGTTGGTGTCTGGAGAAGCCCACTAGTAACAAGGACAAGGTGTCAGGCAGGTATTCTTGAGGGAAATTCACAGGGCTGACTGGGCTGTGGACAGAGGGGAAGGAATGTGAAGATGAGTGCCGCCTCCTGTTGAACCCTGCCCAGGAGGCACGCACGAAGACCTGCACAAGTCCCGCCCGCTCGTCCTGACACATGTGCGGCCAGGGGGGCCAGCTGACAGGTGAGCCTGAGCCTGAGGAGACCCACACTGCCTGGGGACACCCATCCTTGTGCAGTGGGCAAGTGGGGCCTTGCTGTCCTCCCTGGCTGAGCCCATGGAGACCAGATGAGGCCCCAGGAGAGGGACCCTGGGCTGGATCTGAGATGGCCCAGAGCCTGAGAGTGCTGCCCTCCCTGGAGAGTCCTGGCACAGCCTCATGGCCAATCTAAATCTGTCTTGGGACAGGGCCCAACTGAGCTATTCCAGGATGGCCTGGAACAGCCTGGGCCAACTTTCAGGGCTGGAGGGACATCAGCCAAGGAGCTGCTTGCTCTCCTGGGGCCCTCAGGGGTCCTTCCCACTGGTGGTGTCACCAGGGTAAAGTGGAACAGGGCCTTTGGGTGGGAACATGCTGGTGCCCTGTGGCCCCAGAAGGCCTGGCCCTCTCTCAGGACCCACACTCTCCTTGGCCCATCACTAAAGGGCACCCCTACCTTCTCCCTATCCTTCCTGCAGGGAGGGCTCCCTGAAAGCAGGAGACCGGCTGCTCAGCGTGGACGGCATACCACTGCATGGGGCTAGTCATGCCACCGCCCTGGCCACCCTGCAGCAGTGCGGCCATGAGGCACTCTTCCGGGCAGAGTATGATGTGGCCGCCCCAGGTGCTGGCCCAGGAGAGGCGCACGCTGGGTGTTGGGTAGGGGGCCAGCCTGGGGACCCATGGAGTACAGTTCAGATGAGGCCTCTGTCTCACAGAGCTGGCATCCAGTGAGGAAAGGAAGTCAGGCAGCCAAACAGATGGTAGTGTGGTCCACTGGTTGTCAGGCAGGCAGGAAGAGAGTCAAACCTGGTTTTAGGGGTGGAAGGTGTGGGGTATTGGGACAGGAATTTGGGATCCTGCTGCCACCCAGGTGTGTGGTTGGCTGTTCTCTGATGACAGTGACTGTCACAGATGTTACCTCTACTCCACCCCCTCTTTGTGGAATAGGGAACTCACTCTCCACTCAGGTGCAGAGCAGGGTGGGTAGGGCTGTATACCCCATTTCCCCCAACCCACCTGTCTCTGTGAGCAGACTTGGTGGCTGGGGTGACCGGGCCACTGGTCGTGGAGATTGTGAAGACGCCAGGCTGTGCCCTGGGCATCTCACTCACTGCTGGCTGCCACCGGAACAAGCCAGTCATCACGATTGACCGCATCAAGCCAGCCAGTGTGGTGGATAGGTGAGGCCCATTGGGCACCTCCTCTGGGGTGTGCAGGGTGGGGGGCTGAGCTTTGGCTAGACCAGTTTCCATGTCTACCTATTCAGGAGCGGGGCCCTGCGTGCGGGAGACCACATCCTATCCATTGATGGCACCAGCACAGAACGCTGCTCCCTGCAAGATGCCACCAAGTTGCTGGCGAGTGTGGCAGAGAAAGTGCGGCTTGAGGTCCTGCCCTCACCACAGAGCCGGTGGCCCCTACAGCCTGTAGATGCAGGTGGGTCCCAGGCTTGGGCCCAGACACACAGAGGCTGTACTACCTGCCCCAGCCCTGCAGCTGGGTAGGGTCACTGGATCCCTTGAGCTCTTGGGCCAGGCAGCCAGTGTATTGGAGGGAGTGCTGCTGGGAGTGTAGACTTTGTGGGGTGCAGTGTCTGGGATGGGGATCCTGAAACAGTAGGGCATGCAGGACTTGGGGAGGCATGGGCCAAGTGTGCAAGAAAGAGAAAGAAATGTAAGCCATGGCCCAGGGTGGCCACACTGTGGCGGACAGAGGGCAGCTGTGGCCGTGGCAATACCCATGGCTGAGACTGCCAAGCCTAGACCTGATGCCTTGTCCTGGAAGGAGAAAGGAGGCCATGGAAGGTGCCCCTGGATGGAAGACCCCAGCCTCCCTGCCCTGCCCTGCCCTCCTTGCCAAGCCCCTCTCTCCTGCCCACAGTGAAGGTGCAGAGGTTCAAGTCCCCTGGCTGGGACCCCCACGTGCCCTCCTGCCATAGCCCACGGCCCAGTTGGGGCCCAGAGCAGAGCCGAGGTGCGGATGCCTATTTTTGAGGATTATGGGGGGTCCAGAAATGGGGCTGCCCACTGTCCCCTATATGTCAGGGGTCCCATGTGGGGCTCTGGCTCTCTGGGCCATGCAGCAAGACCCATGTGTCCTCCTCCAGCCCTGTCCTCCAGCCCTTTCTCCTCACCACCTGTGGACCACACCTCTCCACGCATGCACCCCAGTACCCTGCCCCGGGGCCCACCACCTGGGAGCCCACGCACCACTCCGGGACACAGGTGGCCACGCAGGAGGGAGCACAGGAGCTCACGTAAGTAGACCTGGTCTCAGGGTGGGCATGGGCACCAGAGAGGCCCCAGCAGTTCCCAAGTATAGCTGGTCACTCCTCAGCACACAGGGTCACCAAAGACCCTGGGGATGTCTATCCCATGACAGAGCCAGCTGCAGAGTCAGAAGTGGATTGATGGTTGCAGGTGCTAGTCTGGGCAAGGTGAGGCTAGAGAACAGAGAACAGCTCTTCTCTGCCTTCCTTCCCCTTGGCCCCTACCCCTACTCCCTCTTTTCCTCTTTCCTGTGCTAGAGATGGAACTCGGGACTCCACATATGCCACACAAAGCCAGGGTATCCTCTGCAGTGATGAATGCATCCTAAAATGGGGCTGGGACACATGTCACCACAACTACTCCCACAGAACTACATACTTTATGCAATGGCTGTGACAGACATGACTCATATCTCAATGCACCATCACCTCAGACAGAGCATGCAGAATACCAGCATGTGCACGAGTATGGTCCTCTCCTGGGTTCTGTCACCATGACCAGATAGCTCAGAGACAGCAGATGGAGGGGCAGGCACAAAGGACCACACGTGACTCCAGCAGCTAGTGAAGCCTCTAAGCAATCTTTCTGTCCCTTCATTTGACTGGCCAAAGCCAGCTGCCCCACAACCTGCCCCTTTCTGCCCTCACCTGTCACCATAGGACAGGACTTGTGCCCAAAGCCCTGACATGACTTAATCATGGCCCAGAGCATGGAAGCGAGGGGCTGGCAGATAGGATGGGATGTGGTATGGCTGCTTCACCTGGTAACTGGGTACTGACAACCTCTCAGCGTGACTAACCTCATCACAGGGAGTCCCCATGGGAGGAAACATGGGAGGAAACGACCAGGTATTTCCTGCTGTTGTGTCCCTGCGGGAACAAGGGGGGAACTATGGGGGTACTCCCTGTGGTCCCTGAGTGATGTCCCCTTGTCCCACCACAGTGTCCCTGGCGTCTAGCATGGTGGGGCCAGGTGGGCAGATTGTGCATGTGGAGACCACAGAGGTGGTGCTGTGCGGGGACCCTCTCGGCGGTTTTGGCCTCCAGCTCCAGGGTGGCATTTTTGCCACTGAGACCCTGTCATCCCCACCCCTCGTGCGCTTCATTGAACCTGACAGCCCAGCAGAGAGGTAAGCCCTTTCCCCGGGGCCTTCCAACCCTGACTAGAGGCTCTGTGACAGCAGGGAAACTGAGTCACAGGCACTTCCCTCCCTCATCCAAGGCCTCCATCAGCCCCATCTCCCTTCAGTGAGGCTGAGCCTCAGAGATGATGACTCCCTGGCCTGGGGCCATACAGTCGGGTGTCCTTTCTGTCCTTTGTGGGGCATTGGGTCTGGCTGGTGATGTCACCCCAGGAGACAGAGGGATCAAAGCTGGCATCCATGAGTGCCAAGGAATGGCTCTGTTATGGACTCTGCCCCTGCTGGGCCCAGGTGTGGGCTGCTTCAGGTGGGTGACCGAGTCCTGGCCATCAACGGTGTTGCCACGGAGGATGGAACCATGGAGGAGGCCAACCAGCTGCTTCGGGATGCTGCACTGGCCCGCAGGGTGGTGTTGGAGGTGGAGTTTGATGTGGCGGGTGAGTGGGTACGCTCTTCCATTGCCTGATGTCTCTGCTGCCCACACCCTGCATCCTCTGGGCATCTGCAGCCTTGGTGGGGAGGTTACAGGGTGGGGCCCAAAGAATTCTGAGCGCTGGCCCAGGGCTGCCACATCCATGGCATGGCACTTGATGCTTCTCACTGCTCCCTGGCTCCCCCTCTGTCAGGGTGGGCAGAGCAGGCAGAGGTGGGGGTCCAAGTAGGATACCCACAGGTAAGGATCCCCATAGTTTGGTCCAATCCATCTCTGCAGAGTCCGTTGTGCCAAGCAGTGGCACCTTCCACGTGAAGTTGCCCAAGAGGCGTGGTGTGGAGCTGGGCATCACCATCAGCTGTGAGTCCCCGTCATCCACCCAGGGCCAGCACAGCTGTCGTGCTGGGTGTGTGGTGTTCCCACTCCCCATTCTATACAGGGGCTCTTCATGGACCTGGAGGCACCCCAGGGTCTCACAAGCAACCTGTAGGGCCACATGCTGCACTGGCCGGATTTCTGGTCCCACTCCTTGCTCAAAGAGCCCAAAAAGGCTGGAGTACAGCAGGTGCTGAGTTACATTTGCAGGGAAGGACAATGAAGGTGGCAGAAAAGTCCAGCTCATGTGCTGGGTAAATCTGGGATGGGCAAAAGCCAAAGCCCTGGCTCAGCCAACAAGGCCTAGCATCCCTGCTCCTGTGACCTCAGGGCCTTTACACAGCTCTGCACTTGGCTCTCTTCCCATCCATCCGAGGGATGTGGCTAAGAGGAGCACGCTGGCCTTGTGCACATGCGAGCACACATGCGCGCGCACACTCACGTACACACATGCACACATGGCCTCAGTCCTCCATGCCGCTCTTTCTGTCTTACTCTTCTCAGTGCTCTCTCATCTAAGAAGCCACCCCTGTCCTTCCTATCCTTCTGGTCCCTGGTCAGGTTCCCTGGGGCTGTGTCTCTGCCGTGGGCACAGAGAACAACCAGGCTGCCCTTTCAGGATGCAGTCGGCTGGGGGAAAGGTGAACAGGAGAAGGCAGCAGGCACTGAGCGCCTACGTGGCTGGCAGGGTCCTAAGCCCACGTCCCTCGCCTGCCTCCACTGTGCTTTGTCCCGTGGGATGTGGCGTGTCGCGGAACAAGTGGGGTCCGGGAGGTGTTTGCTTTGCTCAGGATGCGGGTAGGGAGGAAAGGGCAAGACAGAGACAGGCGGCTGCAGCAGGCTGGCCCCCAGGGAGCCTCCACCCCTCGTCAGACCGCGCCCTCCCACAGCGGCCAGCAGGCGGCGTGGCGAGCACCTCATCATCTCGGACATCAAGAAGGGCAGCGTGGCACACAGGTAGGCGAGGCCACGGGCACGAGGGTAGCAGACGCCCTGAGCGTGAGGGACAGCTGGTCCCCGTCCTCCCTGCAGGACCGGCACCCTGGAGCCGGGCGACAAGCTGCTGGCCATCGACAATGTGCGGTTGGACGACTGCCCCATGGAGGAGGCCGTGCGCATCCTGCGCCAGTGCGAGGACCTGGTGAGGCTGAAGGTCCGCAAGGACGAGGACAACTCCGGTACGCGCCCGGGCCCCAGCCGCCCCCAGCCCCGCAAGCCCCGCTGCCCGCTCACGCTGCCCTTGCAGATGAGCAGGAGGCCACGGGCGCCGTGAGCTACACCGTTGAGCTGAAGCGCTACGGGGGCCCGCTGGGCATCACCATCTCAGGCACCGAGGAGCCCTTCGACCCCATCGTCATCTCGGGCCTCACCAAGCGCGGGCTGGCTGAGAGGTGAGCAGTTGAGCATGACAGTGGGGGCCAGACACAGATGTGTCTCCTCTATTCGCCAGGCAGGGTCTGTAACCTGGCTGTGGGGACACTAGGGGCTCCCCAAGGAAGTGGGGCGAACTCAGCACCCACGATGCATCTAGGCCAGTTCCTGCCGGGTAGTGCCCCAGGGAGGGGTCCCTAGAGTATAAGCACACACCCGGCCTTCCTCAGCAGGTAGAGAGGAGGAACAAGACAGGGCGTCCCTGTGCCTGGAGCGCCCCCTGCTGGTTGTGGGACATGGGCGTGCTGACTGTCCCCTCCAGCGAGGCCACCTGGCACTGGTACAGTCTCCTGCCCTCCCCTCTGTGTGGCCTGTGGAATGGAGTCCGAGCTACAAACCAAATGGTCAGATTTCTAGTAACCTCTTCTAGAAGGATGAAAAATCAATTCGAGTCAAAACATCCTTGCTGCAGACAGCGGCAGGGCACTTCCTGAGACCGCTTGTGTGGCACTTCAGCTAGGCTGCCTCTCACCCCACCTGAATTTACTGGCCACCCCGTCAGGGCCATGGCTAGTGGACACACAGTTTGCACCCTTCTGATGCCATCATCTCTGCTGCACCCAGGTCAGAGTAAGAGTGGGAGCAGCTCCTAGCAATGTGTGACTCTTGGGATCTTAGACTCTACCAAGACATCGGGAGCCTAGTCCCAGCCTCTATGAAGGCTCCAAACAGTTCTTTAGATGCACACTGCGCCATCCCCTCCTAGGTTCCAGACTGAGGACTCTGTTAATGGAACTCAAAGGGGGCTTGCGAGTTAGCTCAGTTTTTTAAGCACCTGCTTGCGCAAACCCAGTCAGGCAAACCCGTGGTTTGATCCCCAGACCCAACCTTAAGGCAGCCTGTGCCAGAAAAAAAAAAAAAAAAAAAATCCGAATTCAACCCAAGACCACAGTGTCTACCTTCTTTTTCAGTTGGGCATAAATGGGTTTGACTACGGATTCAGTTTGGGCCCCAGGATTCCCTGAGAGAGAGGCCCATTCTCAGGTCTGGGTGGTCCTGATTCTGCCTTGTCCTCCCACCCTTAGGACTGGTGCCATCCATGTGGGGGATCGCATCCTGGCCATTAACAATGTGAGCCTCAAGGGCCGGCCACTGAGTGAGGCCATACATCTGCTGCAGGCCGCTGGAGAGACTGTCACACTGAAGATCAAGAAGCAACTGGAGCGTGAGCCTGGGGCCCAGCCCTGAGGTGGGGGACCTCAGGCAGGGAGGGTCAGCTGGGTGTTACTGCTGAGGGCAGGGAAGAGGCAGTGGCCCTGGATCACAGATTTCAACAGGTCTGGAGTGGCTGATGTCCCCTCCCTTCTACCTATACTATCTCTTATGTGTCTGTGACAATACCTTATCCATCCTCAGAGTCCCTGATCCTGTCCCCAGCTTTGGTGGTGGGCAGAGTTGAGTTGCAGGCTGCGTGACCTGGGCCTTAGTTTCCCTGTCTGAGGCCCCTGGTCAGCAGTACCTCTTCCCCAAGGCCCACTCGCGCCCCTCAAGTCGGGCAGTGTCAGCGAGGCCAGTGACATTGAAGAGGACCCACCTGAGGCCCTGAAGGCCGGTGCGCTGGCCACCCGCTTTCTGTCTGCAGTGTGCAGTGTGGACAGCGCTGTGGAATCCTGGGACAGCTTGGCTACTGAGGGTGGATTTGAGGGCCCAGGTAACTATCAGGCCTCCTCTGTGGGGGGTTCCTGTCCTACTCCTGGGCTTGCTATGGCCTTGTCCTTTAGAGATACTTCTGAGGACCCTACTCCCATGGCCACTCCTAGGGGTCACTGGTTCTGGGACCTTGGCCAGGAGCATCTATGTGTGGCTGTACTGTGACCCCATTTCTGTTCCCACACCTAAGGCCCAGGTCACACAAGTACTCAGGCCATGTTCCCCATATCCAGCTGGAGATAGGAGGACAGAAGGCACCCTCCCCATCCCCTAAAAGCTCAACTTGGGGAGATGTACCAGTTCTTCCCCTGTGCCTTCTGTGCATACTGGGACCCTGGGGACAAATGAGCCAGGTCAGTGGGGCTTTGGGGGCTCTGGCCTGACTCTCATGGGATGGACAGCTGTCCTCTCTGGTCCCACTATCCCTATCCTCCTGTGGGAACCCTGGGCAGGGCCTCTGAGTGCCAAGATGAGGTGGGCTTTTTCCTCATGAGCCACACTCTCTGGGAGGTGATGGGGACAGGGTCTTACATCTGGGGCCACTTTCTGCTATAGCTGGGAGCTCCAGGGAAGGCCTGGGATGGCAGAAGTCATGCAGGCCTAGAGGATCAGCAATCTCTAACTCCAGAAATGGGGTCTCAAGGAGGCAGAAGGGACTGAACACAGACATGCCTTCTGCACCCCCAGGTGCCTACACCCCGCAGGTGGCCATCCAGGGAGCAGCCCCCCAGCAGCGGCGACATAGTAGGCTGCGGGGCAGTCCCCCACCTGGGGAGCCCCGGAGGACGAGCTACACCCCGGGCCCTGGCGAGCAGTCCTTCCTTGAGGATGTGGACAATGACTGGGGGTCACCCGCGAGGTCGGTGGTGGGCACAGGAGAGACACAGTGGCTGGGGTATGGGGGCTTAATGACCAAGAGGGCCCCTGTGACGAGGATGCTGTACAGAGCCACAGGGCCATGGATCAGGAAGGGCACAGTGGCAGAGAAGGCAGTGGTTGTGGCACACCACCCTTGTAGCCTCCAAGAAACTGGGCACAGCTGTGCCAGGTGATATCAAGGACCCTCAACCCAGTGGGCCTGTCCTACTCAGCTCTCAGAGCACAGCTGAGTCCCTGCCCTCCTGCCACAGCCGTTTCCCTGGGTAGCACCTGCCACAGCTGTTTCCCTGGGTAGTGTCCCAGCCATCATGTTTTCTCTGTGACACTGTGCTTGGCCCTGGGACTTGGCCCTGGGGAGAGGCCAGCTCCCTGAGTGTGACATACCTTGACCCCACCATCCTTGGACCCAAGAGCATTGGTGGCATCTGCATCACAGCAGTGAGAGACTTCCGGGCCATGTGGTGTGGCATGTTTGCCTGTGACCCGGGGTGCCACTGCAAACCCTCCACCTCTCCGTCATCTGTCCTGTCCTGTACCTGTCCAACAGCACCATGTGTCTGGGTGGGCAGGATGTCCTCCAGACTGTTCAATGGATCTCCTGTCTCTGTCTGTCATCTCTCCCCAGGCATCCTGTGTCACCGCTGTCCACCCCGTCTCGTCTGCCCCTGTTCTAACCGACCACCGACAGTCTTGGTTGCCCCTAACTGCGTCTTCCCCTCATTTTGTGTCACCAACTACTATCCTGGGGCCCCAGCACTGCCACCAAGGACGCCCATCTGCCCACCCCATGGCCCTGAGCCCAGAACTGGCCTGGCCTGAAGACTTCTCGGAGCTGATGCTCTGGTTCCTACGTTGCAGCCCTGTCCCTGTCCCCGGCTCCAGTCAAGAAAGGGGCTTCTGGCCAGCGCTGGGAGAGGCCCTGGAGGACCTGGAGTCCTGCGGTCAGTCAGAGCTGCTCAGGGAACTGGAGGTATGGTCACCACTGTGGGCCTGAGAGCGAGCAGGTGTGAGCAGTGTGCAGGCATCAGGTGAACGCTTGTGAATGTGTGCCTGTCCCATGTGCCCCTGCATGCACATGGAGAGCACGCTCCTCAGGACCCTTGTGTGTGTGTGTGCAATGCCTGGGCAGGGGTGACATCTGCATGTGATACGTGATCAGGACCCAGTACTGCAGACACCATTGCCCTAGGCAGTCCCTGTCAAGTGGGGCAGGCTGCAGGGGACCATGGCTCCTGTGTTCTGCACAGTCTTGGTTGGGTAGCCCAACCCCACTCCATCTGCCCTTGCCCAGGTTCATTCCCAGAGTTTCTGCTGGGGGGCAGGGACAGGGCTGCGGTGCTTGCTGTCTCCCTCATATCCTTGTTTTCTGCCTTACTTTTTTTGTGTTTGGCTTTGCCATTTCTTTCCTACACTTTTTATGTCTAAGTATTGACATATACCTGGCTTCTTAGCTAAGAATTTGCCTGAAAGCCCTTCTTTGGCTGTGATTCCCCAGTTGTGATGGGTGATATTCTGGACTCTTGGTCCTGGGAACTGAGTCCAGGGCGTCATGCACTCCAGGAAAGCTCCGTAGCACTGAGCTACATCCTCAGTCTTTGTTTTGTTTTGTTTTTATTTTTTATTTTTATTTATTTATTTATTTATTTATTTATTTTTGAGGCAGGGTCTAAATTGCCCAAGCTGGCCTTGAACTTGCATTTCTGCTGCCTCAGCCTCCCAAGGGTCTGAGATTCTAGGAATGAGCTACTGAACCAAACAAAGATGCTTTTGTTGCCCACTTAATTTAAAATCTTTTAAAGTTTTGCACTGACATTTTTACATAAGCCCTTGAATTCTAGAGAAGTAGGGCTTTTGATTTTGGATTACTTAGTTATTTTTTAAAATCCATTTTTAAATGCCAGTTTATATTGGTTGTTAACCTTTATATACTGTGACCAGAGGATGTATTCAAAAGTAATTTTAATTCCCTGGAATTTGTTATAATTTAATCCTTCATGGTCTAGCATGTGATGGCTTTTTTTTTTGGGCGGGGGGAACCGGGGATTGAACTCAGGCCCTTGTGCTTGCCAGGCAAGCGCTTATTCTACTGAGCCATCTCCCTGACCCCTGTGATAGCTTTGTAGATGTTTCTTGTTTGCAAAAGGAAGTGATCTCCTTTTTGTTGATGTAGGGCTCTAGATCAATTTAGTCATAAACTTACTCAAATCTATATATTTATCATACCGTATAGACTTTATCTTCATTTTTATTAGCAGCATAGTAAACTTACATTCTGTTAATTAGTTCATTTATTTTTGTCTTTTTGAGACAGGTTTTCCCTATGCAGTTAGGCTAGCCTTGAGGTTACTTTGTGGCCCAAGCTGTTCTCAAACTCAGAGCAATCCTCCTGCCTCAGCCTCCCAGGTGGTAACAGGCGTGCACCACCACTCTCGACCCTAGCGGCCAGCTCAGCATGCCCAGGGGCATGGCCAGCTCAGCATGTGGTGCCAGAATCAAAGGCTGGTCCCTGCACTTACCAGTGCAGGTGCTTAGTCCACTGAGATATCTTGCTGACCTTGATTCTGACAATTTTTATTTTCTATCCTTTGATGTTACATTTTTTGTTGACATAAATTCGTGATTACTATGACTTCTTAGTGAAATTTTCTGTTTATCATTAATTATCATTCCCTCTTACTTTCTACCTTAAATTCCATTTTCATCTCATTGTTCGTTCTGCTGCTAGTAATATTTCTTTTTTCTAATTTAGTTATTTTCAGGCTTCCTGTGCCCTTATTTGAAGTATGTCTGTGGTATATATAGCTGAGTCTCTCAGGGACAACTGTAGCTGTTTATACTTCTTATACTGTTAATATAGTTCAACTTAATTCTAACACATAGTGTTTATTTTCCATGCTTTCCCCACACTTCCAGTCACTTCTCTTTTCTTCTTTTGTGTAGACAAGTTTTTGAGTTTGTTCTCTCTCTGCTACCTCTTTAGAGAATTTTAATTTCAATTTTACAGTTTTAGTGAATATACCTAATTTATTGGCTTTACTTTGAATAGCCAATCTTTACACTTAAAGCTTTTCATTATCATAGAAATGAGTTATGAGCTGGGTGCAAAATTAGATGAGCAAAATGAAATTAAAATAAGCAAAGCAAATGCCAGCTTGCAGCCTTCCCAGCCCAGAGGCCTGCTCTCGAGTCAGCTGTGCCTGAGGGCAGCAAGATCAGGGCCGGGCCACTCTGTCCTTGAGGCGGGGACTCACTCTCTCGCGTCTGAGCTCCTCAGCTCTGCCCAGCTGCACTCCTGTTCCCCTGCTCTGCTCTCAGCTGGCTTTGTCCAAATGACATCTCTTAACTATCTCTTCATTTTAGTGCATGGTGTTTCTAACGACATTGCCTTTTAAGTTTTTAAAAATTGAGATAAATTCACATAATGTAATGTTTAGCACTTAGTTATTTTAAAGTGAACCTGACCTGGCACCCAATGCACTTTTCTGCTCACTCTGTGATCACAGAGGGGTCACAGGACCTTGCCTGCCTAGCTTGCTCCCCTAATGTGGGGCATGGAGCTGGGCTCTGTCCTGTTGCTTGTGGATTGTTCCGTGCCCTGTTCTTCACACCCCAACATCTGTCCTTGATTTTATCTTTCTCAAGAATCTCAGTGACTTTTGTCCCCTCCTAATGAGATGTCCCAACTCCCTCCACTCTGCTCCTCCCATCTCTGGCCCAGGTGTGTGAGTCTGACCGGTGTCTGGGCAGTCCTTGTCCCTGCAGCATCCTGTGTCCCTGTATCCCCTGTGGATGTTCACTGGGGAAGGCTGGGACAGTCTTCAGGGTCCTGATCACATCTACATGAGCAGAAATTTCTGATAGCTGCACTGCACTGGGTGCAGGTCAGGGTCTCTGGCTGTGGAGACCAACTGCTGTTCTAGGGCACAAGTGTGTTGCCCTTGAGCTCACTGTTGCCCCTGAAGAGATATGTGCAGGGTGGTGTCACTCTTGGGAGGGTTGCTGACCACCTGTGGCCTGAGCCTAGGCCCTGTGGCTACAGGCTTCCATCATGGCAGGCACCCTGCCCAGCACGGTCCTGGAGGGCAGACCTGGGTCCCGGGCCTGGAGGGGCACACGGGAGCCCCGTGCATCTGCAGAGGAACTGCGTGAGCTGCTGCTCCCCACCGCCCTGGAGATGCACAAGGTGGGCATGGGGAATAAAGAGGGCCTGCCAACCCAGCCCTGCCCTTGCTGTAGCCACGCCCCTGGTGCAGCCCCCTCCTGGCTGTGTTCTCCCACTATAAAGCAGTGATTTTGTCCTAGGTTGAGTTTTGCACAATCCTCACCATCTTGCTAACACCCCACACATGCGTGCAGTTAATACTTTAAGTAGATTTGCTTTTATCCTCACTTGAGTGTATGAGTATACGTGCATAGTCAAGCATGTGGAGATATGTATATTTGCACACATATACAGAGGTCAGGCCCTACCAGGGTGTGTGTGTGCATAGCTGCCCTTACCTACCACAAGTCCTGTATCTACAGAAGCAGCCTTTCACACATGGAGTGTATGCCCTGAAACTGCATTATTCTGAGCACTGGAAGACTTTCAGGTCCTTATTCCCTAAAAGTACAGCACAGCACAACTGACACCATGTGCACACAGACTGGGAGTTTCCCAGACATGACCAGAACAGACAAATGCGAGTGTGTATATGGACCTGAGGAGGGCAGGTGGCATCCCAGGGCCTTTACACCTACTCCCTGCTTCCCCTCACCTACCTCATGAGCCAACTCCCCATGACCCTTGATGGTTTGCTCTGTGGGAAGACAATAGAAGTCCCTTACCTGGCGTTTTCCACAGTCTGCTGTCTGGGGGCACAGGAAGGGACTCAAGAGCCACCTCTCCTTGCATGTATGATGCAAGTAGAGGCCCGGTCTGGTGGAGGGAAGACATGCAGGACACTGGGGGGCTTGGCCCAGGGACTCCAGTTCTCTGGGAGGCTGGGCCAAGGTCAGAGCTGCAGGGACCCTCCTCTGCTCCCAGGTGATGTTGCACCGAGACCGCACACGGCATGATTTTGGTTTCAGCGTGTCTGACGGCCTCCTGGAAAGGGGTGTCTACGTGCACACTGTGCGCCCTGGTGGGCCAGCCCAGCATGGGGGCCTGCGGCCCTTTGACCGGGTCCTGCAGGTAAACAGAATTTGGGTACACAGCTATTCATCTGTGAAAGTCATGGTGGGGGCACAGTGGGCACAGCTGTGATCTCAGTGCTCAGGAGGCTGTCAGGGGGACCTCAAGCTTGAGCCCAGCGCGAGCAACTTAGCAAGATGCTGACTCGAGAAAAGTGATGGAGATGTAGCTCAGTGTGAAGTCAAGAGTTCAGCTTCCAGGAAGAAAAGCAGGTGCTAGGGGGTGGGAAGATGAGGTCTGGCTAGAAGCCTGCACAGAGGCCTCACATGTGTAACTTAACCTGAGCCAGGCCGGACAATACCTGAGTTCCACCCTGCTGTGCTACATACAGGTCAACCATGTCCGCACACGGGACTTTGACTGCTGCCTGGCAGTGCCGCTCCTGGCTGAGGCGGGTGATGTCTTGGAGCTAGTGATCAGCAGAAACCCGCTAGCACCGGGCAGCCAGGCACCGAAGACACCTGGTCCCCAAAGCCCCCGGATGCTCTAAAGCCAGGGAGATCTTGACATTGGGGTGCTGGGGACCTCTGTGGGACTGTCTGAAGATAAGAGAACCCCACTGTGCATCTGTCAAGCTGGCAGACCCCGTCTGTTCTCCGGTCCTGTGGCAGACAAGGTGTCTGGGGTGAGGTCCCTGCCTCAGCTGGAGTGACATCTGGAGCCCTCCCACAGGCTCAGCCAGGAAGAGAGGCCCCTGGAGAAGCTGTGTAGGGAGCAGCCAGGAACCTCCAGGGAGAGAGCTCCCAGTCACAGCTGAACAAGCCAGTGCTGGACATCAGTGCAGTTGGAGGCCAGCCGAGATGTGGTCCACATGGGCTCAGGGTCAGCTTCCTGATGGATCCACTGCATCAGAGACCCTGCACCCAACTCGGGGCTGGGCTTCCTGCTCTGGGCCTGAAGCAGGGCACTGGAAGTCAGTGTGTGACTCTCTCAGAATCTGGAACTTGAGAGGGATTTTGGTCCCAGGGTGACTTGGCACCAGGCTGTGGGTGCCCCTCCTGCCTGTGTCACCCTTTGTGTGGGCAGGAGCCTCTGGGGACAAAAGATGGGGAGGTTCTGGTGAGTCATCTGCCCCCTGGAGGAGGACTGGGAAATGGCGAAGACTCAGTGCTTATTGGTGAAGGTGCTGCTTTTTCAGGCCCAGTGCAGAGTAAGCAGCTAAGAACAAGCAAAAGGAGCCCTTTTCATTTTGAGATGAGCATGGGGCGGGGCTGCTATGGAACAGCTCAGCCTTACCTGGTTCTGTGAGAGTCTCAGGAGGGCAGGGTGCCCATACCATCTTCACCACCCAACCCAAGAGCCCAGAACTCATTTCCTCTGTGGGGACAGGTGGGGTCATAGGTTCAGTCCCTGACTGAGTGACCCCCTAGTCACATTCTATGCTAGATAGTTGAGGCAGAAGTCTCTGAACAGTTATCTGCTTCCAGTCACAGCCAGGACCTCGCTCTGTACCCCCAACTTCTAACCTGATTTCCAAGTGCACCTGAGGGTCCTTTACACCTGCAGCCAATTGCCTAGGGCTCAGCTGGACACCCACACCAGGGGACAGGGAATTGCAAGGGGCACTGAACAAAAAGCTAGAAGCCCCCTTGAGGGCTGCGATGTCAGCTCGGGCAGGTGGCTCAGCTTCCTGAGGGACAAGGGGGACATGCTCTCAGGGCTGGTGGCAGTGTGGGGACACTGCTAGGATGCTGCCTTAGGCTCAGGGCAAGGGAGGATGTGTCCCTCACTGGCTGCCCCGTGGTCCTCCAGACACATGCAACTGGCCCCCAGCGGGTAGGGCTTCCGCTGAGGCCAGTGGCCTTTCCTCCTCGTATGCAATTCCCTGCTTCTCTGGGCCATCCTGGTCATTCCCCGCCCTCCCCAGCATCCTGCCTGCTATGCACTTGGGCACTGCCGTGGCCCATCCCATCCCAAAGCTGTATTTTTCTGTGGCTGGGATTAGAGCAGATCCCTTGTAAAGTATTTTTGTACTCAGTTTCTTAGGGCTCTGGGAAGCACAGCTCACCTGGCTCAGGCCATCTGGGGGTTATGTGCTAACCGTGGGGCAGTGCTGTTGAGTGACTTTTTAAAATAAAATTATTCAGTGCACCTGGATAGGTAACTGCTTTCTCAATAACCACTGGTGGGAGAGGGCCAGTTTCTGTGTGGATCCTGCGGCATCTTACTTGCTTTTTAACTCATTCACCCACTTGAAGTTTGCCACTCATGCCTTCAACAGCCTTCGTGCCAGTACAGGACAGTGAGCCAGGCAGCACGACATAAGGAATTCCTGCAGGAGTCAAGCACATGAAAACAACAAAACAGGGAGCTGGTGTGGTGGTGCATGCCTGTGACCGCCGTTACACAGTACATATGATACACGGATGATCTGTGGAACTCCAGATAATATAAGGGAAATACAATCCCCAACATGCTAGATGGTCAAAATGCCAAGTTCATGTTTTCTAAAGTACATTCCACGAACAATTGGGGTTAAGAGTAGGACGAATTTATTGAAAGAAAATTTCTGCCTGACAGAGACAGAAAGGTTCCCAGGGGGGTGGCCCCAGTGATACCCACTTCTCAAGGCTATTTTATAGAGCAAAGCCACAAGGTGAGGTGGGTTCAAAGTAGAACAAAACTGTAGTCAACTAATAAGATTACAAGTACAGTCACTGGGCCAGCCAGATAGCTCAGCAGATCAAAGCACCTGCTTAGGCAGTCGCAGGGGCTGGGGTGAGAGTAGAGGGTTGGATACCCAGCCTACCATGCCGGCCCCGCCCCCAGGGTACACTGAGACAGCAAATGAGACTGGGCATGGTGGTGCGTGCCTGTAATCCCAGCTCCTGGGCGGCTAAAAAACAGGAGGATCACTATGAGTTAATGATCTGTGTAGTGACACCCTACAGATCCTATACTAAATACATTAAAAAAAAAAAAAAAAAAAAAAAAGTCCTGTCGCTTAGGTAACACTGACCCAGTGGAAAGTTACAAAGTGGGTGTGAGGTGGGGCAAAACTGTGGTGAACCAATAACTTCACAACTTTAGTCACTTAGGTTATACTGATTAAATGGTGATCTAAGCAAGTCACGCAGCTAGCATACAACAAAGGAATTCACGTTCCGGAAGGGGGGAGTTCAGGCAGTTTATGGTCCCCCCAAGGTGATTGATGCCTATTTAGAGTATCACTGCTGTTCATCCCTAGGGGAAGTATGTGGGTGTAGTCCTTCCTCTTTTTCTTGAAGCCTGACCTTCAGGGAATGTGCCTCTGGCCACAATTGTCTTCTATCCTGAGGGCCCAACCCTGTCTAATGACCTGTACATATTTACAATTTAATGGTCTATAATATTTACAATTTAATGGTCTATAATACCAGCATTCAAAAGGCTGAGATAAAAGAATCTCAGGTTTAAGGCCACCCTGGGCAACATAGAAAGAGCCTGTTTCAAAGTAAAATAAAAAGGACTGGAGTGTCATCTAGTGGTACAGTGTTTGCCTAGGTTATGCAAGGCCCAGCCAGGGTGCAATGCCCAGTAGTGTGTGTGTGTGTGTGGGAAGCCAGTAGGGAACAGAGGGCCTGTGGTGAAGGTGACAAAGTGGCATGTGCAATGAGAACTGAGGGAAGGCGCTGCGCAGAGCCTTGGAGGAAGTTTCCCACATAGCACATGCCCCTCGGTGTTGTAACCCAAAAATCAAAAACGGACTCAAAAATACAAAAGCGCTTTCTTTAGCTGAGCTCAGCAGCTGCACGTGCTCTTGGCTCCAAATAGGCGTGCGCCCAGGTAGGGAGAGACAGGGGCTTATAAAGCTGAAAACCGCAGGAGGGAGAGGTTTTGTGATCGAAGCACGAGAGAAATGCAGCACAGGGGTCAGCGTCCACTTGTAAGAAACAGATTACAATTTTTAACATATGGTTACACTTCAAGGAATAAATAATTACAAATAATTAACTTTATGGCGTGGTGTTGGTCACAGAACATCATAGAGAAATATCGAGATAATTTTGGAAACGGGGAGTCATCCTTAGAACAGAGTTTTTACCTTAGGAAATGGGGTTGATCACAGGAGACATTGTATAGATTGCTCTTAGCAATTTTGACTCAGAACAAAGGAATAGTTTAATATTAACAAACTGTGTTCAGAGGTCAGAGGCTTGAGCTACAAAGATGGAGTCTAAGTTGTCAGCTTATACCACACAATCCTCATTAATGAAGTTACAGTGGTAACATACAAAGTTAAACATTTGAATCAATTGTACAGGTTATAACACTCGGTAGGCGTGAGTGTGGCAGGTTCCAGGAGGGAGTAGGGGTGCTCCAAGGACATAAATGGCAGGGAATCAAGGGTAGGTGAGGGGCACAGTGGGGCTGCCTTGTCTCCAGAGCGAAGTGAGTTCTGGGGAATTGTGGCTCCAAGGTGGGAATGAGCAGCCCTTCTTGGCAAGGATGTAATCAGCAGGCAGTGTGGAGCCATTCTATGTGCCTGGCAGGACACGAATGGGCCTCCACAGCCTACAGATTGAGCTCTCACTGTGCCAGCACCAAGCAAGAGCGGTGAGGGCACCCCAGGGAAGAGCCAGAATGTGCCCAGCCATGCTGTCAAGACACATGGGGGTCTGATCGTGGTCTCTGTGAGGTCCTGGGAAGGAGGCATGACCCAGCAGCCCTGGCTCTGTACACACAAAAGGCTACCCCAACCCCCAGGAGGGTGACCCTGCAGGTAAGGTGCACTCATGTCACCTCCCACCACCACTCTAATTCCTAAGGCTGCCTTCAGTGATGATGGTGATGGGTCACTCCAGATGGGGAAACTAAGGCTCGGGAGACTCATGCCAGGGCCCCCCGTGGCTTAGGGCTGGGCACACAGGCAGAGCCAGCAGAGCAGACTCAGCGCCCATGGGCCATAGAACTTCTTTCTTCCATGAGCTCCACTGACACTTGAAGTCTGCATTGCCCCAACCTGCCACCCGGAGTGGCAGGTCGCCACTCATACAGGTGCACTAAAAAGGCATCAGTGCAAGATGTCAGTCCATCTTCAGAGGCAGACGGTGCATTCAGACTCAGGTCCAATTTTCAGGATATCCCATGAGGTTCAGATAAAACCCCTTTCTGAAGCCCTCTGGGTAAGGGACACTCAGCCTGAAATTTCTCTTGCTGAGGACCCTCAGGTTGGGCAGAAAGTCTACCTGCCTGCCTATCTACTTCTGTCTATCTGCCTATGATTTTTTATTTTTTGAGACAGGATTTCATGTATTTGAGGCTGGTTTTAAATATAGTGATCCTCCTGGCTCAGCCTCCTGAGTGCTGGGATTATAGGTGTGCGCCACCACACCCAGTTTAGAGAGCTCTTTACAAACTGTAAAGCACTTGCCAAACAGAAGAGACAGCAACCGCCCCCCACCAACTAAAACACACCCCAGGGGCCGGGGAGATGTCTCAGTAGAATAAGTGCTTTCCTAGCAAGTGCAAGGGTCTGAATTTAATCCTCAGTTCCGCAAAATTAAAATAAAAATAAATAAAATAAAATAAAACACACCTCATATGTATGGAATTTTAAAAAGGAAATGTTTATTGTCATGTTATAAGGTGATTACAAACTCCTCTAAAAAAAGCAAAGATGAATTTAAAATATCAATATACATATTTATCTAAAAAGCAAAAGGGGGAAAACCCCCACACACCACAGGGATTCGGATCATAAAACATTTACACATAGAAGCCTGTATACCATGGGACTGAATTACATACCCAGATCTTGTCCCAATGCAGTCTTTTGTTGGTTGATTTTTTTTTTTTTACAAAAGTTTAAAATATCTTAAAAATATTTTGATGCTTTACAAAATTCCCGATAAGCCAGACATGTTTCTGGAAGGAGGAGAAACCCACGTCTCCATTTCTCTTGTGCTGAATACAGCGTCACAGTTGTCAGGGACTGGAAAGAATTGCCCGGTAGAAAACCAGAGCTCCTGTTTTACTTTGAAGCCAAAAATATAACAGGTGCCCCACTCCCAAACACTTGCCAGTGTGGTGACTCCACCGGCACTGAGGGCCCTCACTGTGGGCATCTTCCTTATTGCCCAGAGGTATTTAGGGCACAAGGTGGATATGGGAATGAGGGCCAGTGGGGCCCAGGTCACTCTTGGGTCCTCTCCTGGCCCATGGCTGGGTCTTGGGGAGACGGGGGTACTTTGCCCTTGGACTGGCTGCCCCCAGCACCTCATTGAGAGAGCAGTACTGAGGCCATGGGCACCATGGTGACACCAGGCCAGCAGAAGCTCGCCTATGCACCTTTCATCAGCTGGCCTGGGCCTCAGCCTCCTTTCATGCCAACAGGGCTCTCAGCGCCTAGCTCGCAGAGGGTTGGGAGGAAGAAAGATGGTGGCCTGGGAAGTCCAGGGCACCATCTTGTGGAGGTACTGCCACCCCTTCCCCATCTTACTGTCCCTTGCTTACTTATGGGGCCCCCAGGGTTACCCTGGGCTGCTCCCTGGCTGAGGCTCATCCTGGTCCATAGTTCTTCCTATCCAGACCTGGCAGAGCAGTGGGGACCCTCCTTATTCTTGGAGCCATGGCTCTCACCAGCAGTGGCATTGCCATGGGGACAGAAACAGGTGACATTGTACATGAACTGGCAGGGCAGGAACGAGGCCAGAGGAAGACAGGTGTCTGGTGGGGCCTGGGCACTCAGCCTGCACGTCTTTGGTCTAGGATTTGGTCTGAGAACCATGCAGAAAGGTCTTCCAGCTGTCTGTCTCCAACCCACACATGCAAACTCCCTGTGGGGCTGGAGCCAGAGGGAAGCTCAATGACCACAGAAGCCCAGGCCACCAGCCATCGCCTGCCTTCTTTTGCTGACAGTGGTTAATAAATTCCATAAGATAAGATGACAAGTCACAATGCCATGTGGTAAAACCAGGAGGAAACAAAGAGTCCAATAAATCACATACACAGCGACCACCAACACAGGAAATGGGGACACAGGATGTCCGAAGGCTGTGAAAAGTTGGGTGGTGTTTGGCAGAGTTTACAGCTTTGGAGGCAGAAATACACACATCACAGACGAGAGGTCCAGTGCTGCCCCTAGGGAGGGGTGCTGAAGATGTCCCAACTCCTGAATCGTGGGGTGGGGGTGGGGGGGCTTCCAGAATTCTGAGAGCCCTGCTCTGCATGCTGAAGCCTGCTTGCTTCCCACTCCATGGACTGCTACTGCCTCTGTACTGGTCCTACTTTCTGCTCTGAGCTTTCCAGGTCAGGCTGTCTGTGCTGGGCGGCATCAATGTGCTGCACTTCTACTGGTTCTGGGGTGCCAGATCCCTGGCTCCCTGCTCTACACATCTCCCACCTCCTTCCTTGACCCTCACACAGCAAATGTCTGACAGCAGTGACTGCCAGGTTGGCTTAAGGACCAGGACACTGGGGCAGCCAGGTCAGGGCTAAAGGTGAAGAACCAAGGATGCACTGATTGTGACCAAGGCCCTGCCTTGAATGCTGTTCCTGCCAAACTTACTGGGAGCTGGGTGGTGTCAGGGGTCTCCTAGCCCTGAGAACAAAAACAGGAAGGTGGCCCAGGCAGAGGGTACTTGTGCAGTTGGGCCACACCGTACTTGGGGATGGCCTGAGACCGACAAGGACCCACCTGGTAGACCCTAGCTGTTCTTGGACTGGTTCTCAGCCTAGGGATCTGCTTGGGATAGCCAGGAAGCCTGGTGAAACCCCAGCCTGAGCCCTGTCCCCTGCTACCCATCCAGGTCCCTAACTACTCCATGTCCACCTGGCTCTGATGGTCCTGCTGACCTTCCAACCTCAATTGCAAAATTAAAGGTGGAGTTTGGCCCTTCTACCATGCTCAGCTTTGCCAAGAACCCTTCTCTGGGCTCTGGGCAGCCCCTCTGGTCAGGGGGTTGGTGGCTGTCTTGGCGTCACTCTTCTTGGCACAGTGCCCTCACGGTACCCTCTGCCCACCTGGACTGGCTTGGAGGCTGCACCTGCGTGGTGTCTGCGTCTTAGGAAAACCCTGCCCTGCAGGCTTGGGGTGGAGCTCTGTGCCAGCTCTGCAAGCACCAGAATTGCTTTTGAAAACGAGATCTTGCTGGCAAGAAGGTCCACTCATGTGGTAGAGTGTATGACAATCTCAAAGTGTATATAATTTTATGAAAAAAATACAAAGAAAAATTTACCAAGTTCCCATAAAATACATCTAATCCCGTATGAAAGCTCGGCTTCTCCCCGGGGACTTCTGCCCGTGAGTTTTCTTTTTGTACAAAATATTCCCAAATCAAAGTAAAACACACGCACGCACAATACACACACGCACACACACGTGGAGTAACGTTTTCTGTGACAATTACAAAAAAAAAAAATCCTAGTGCAAATATAAAGCTCTGTAAACCTGGTCCTATGAGATCTAATGTTAGTAAACAGCAGGGTGGTGTCGGGGTCACATCATGGTCTCCACCACGATGTGCGTGGGCTGCATGAGTGCCCCATTGGCGGTTGGGTGTGCAGCGAAGGGTATGGCCCCCTCACGCTCCACAGCCCAGCGGTTGGGCTCCCTCGGGGCCAGCAGGTACTTCAGCCTCTGTGGGGAATAAAGAGGGGCCAGTGAGGCCAGAGGAGGGGACCTTGCTGCCCTCTCCCAACCTCACGGTACACTGCCTGGCACCTGGCACTGCCACCTTCCTGAAACTCCTTTTTGTCTTTTTTGCAAGGATACATGAACCAAAATGATCCCACGATCCCAAGAGGCCCCAACTCAGGACCAGCTTTTCCTTAGCCAGGCCCCTGCCATTTCAGCCATTTGCAGCCCAACTCCTGTGGCTGTGAGTCTGCTGTCTCTAGCCTTCCCCAAGGAGAAGCTCCAAACAACTGCACTGGCTGCTCTCTGTGGGTGGATGATCCAGGTGGGTGCACACGTGCACCTCCCGTGCTACCCATCAGGGAGCTGCTTGTCATTTGCCTGGCACATGTGGGGACCTGGGTGTCACCACAGCCCCACCAAAGGAGAAAAGCACTGGAGTATGGGTGGTGTTTCCTTTAGAAACACTCCTCTGGACACATGTAGGCTGGGCAGTTCAGGCCAGACAATCAGCTACGGCTGGAATCTGCCAGGAAGCTGATTTGGAAACTCAGCCACTGGAGCTGGGGGAGCTGCACACCCGGGAAGTGGCCAAGGGCACTCTTGGAAACAGCTGGTAGAGACCCCCACTTCTGTCTCTCTGATGCCAATGTGTACCCACAAACTTCTTGAAGGAGCAGTATTCACAGTTAAGCTTCAAAAGTAGAGGCCATCCAGACCTCTAAAGACCCTGCCCCACAAGAACCGCTGTCTGTGCAGGAAGGGATACAGGGCAGGCTCTAGCCCTCAGTGCCATGGCACCTGACAGGGCCATTGGGATCTGGCCCTGTAGCCTTCAAACACACAACAGGCCCAGCCCTGAGCGACAGGCCTAGCTTCAAGTACCACTGCTGTTTCCTCTCCTCTCTATCCCTGTCCCCACCATGGCTCCATGTCCACTGTTCATGGGCAGCAGCGCCTCAGCACAGATTTTTAAGGGAGTCATATGCAAGCAGCCCAGACCCACTGGGCCGGGTGTTGGAATCTGGAGCACAGAGCAGGCCCAAGCCCAGGGAGGCTAAGGAGCTTCTGGGAAGGGTCCTGGGCTCCCTCGCTGGAGGAGTCTGAGAGGAAGAGATAGAGATGGGTTGGGACCTGGCTGCCCACGGGAGGAGGGGGACCGGAGGTGGCTTCTGTTGGCCAGGTTATCATGGGTACCGTACTTGGCTGGAACAGGACTGACGCCCTCCTGAGGAAGAGCCCAGCTGCTAGCTTGGTACTTGAAGCTATCATTACTTTAGTGTCCTTCTCCCTCTCCTGGGCAGGTCCCAGAGGCCACAACCCTATGCAGAATGTGCCACCCTGTCTCCTCCTCTGACCACTACAAAGGAGCCATCAGTGTCCACAGCCACATAGGCCAGGAAGATGTAGTGTAGGAAGATGGCCACACAACAGAGATGGCCACCACCCCCCACCCCGCCCAACCAGCTTACCACACGCAGTGGCCCCTTGGTGCGGCAGAGGCGGATGAGCACGGCCAGAGGGACACACACCATGGAAGACAGGGCCAGACCCCAGCCCAGCCCAATGGCCCAGGTTGGGTACTTGTAGACCTTGTTGTAGGTCAGGGGCACATACTTCACGAGCGAGAAGACAAAACAGCCCTGTGTATGAAGAGGTGGAGAGATGGAGTCAGGGGCAGTCCAGCTGGGAGCAGTGTGCACGCCCAGCCTCTCCACCTGGTCTATAGTCAACACCCATTTGCATTTAGCACTGGGCCCCTCCGCCATGCCACCTTGCCTTGGAGCCTGCCAACTATGAACTGAAACCTCTACAAACTGGGAGCCAATAAAACAGAAAACCTGACTTGACTTTGGTCTCTGTCATTACTTGGAGAACAGCCCCACTTCTCTGGTGGCAGCACAAGGCCCCATGCTCTGCGCACAGACCAACCAATGTCAGACCAACCTGTTCAGGTCCTGCACTTCCAGGCTCAGAAGAAAACCCTCCTCTCTACCCATGACAGGAATTGGAGCTGGGTCTGCACTGAGGTCTCAGGGGACATCATAGGCCATGGACAGTAGCACCCCTACCCAGCCCTGGTCCTTTGACTCCATCATGGGCTGCACGGGGACCAGGCCACCTGCTCACACTTCTTCTCCTCAAGGTCAGATACCTACAAATGAGACTTCAGGGTCAGGGGACAGGATTGGGCTGGAGCCTTGCAGACTGTACCTAACTTGCCAAGGGGTAGCGGCTGTGGGATTATGGGGTGGGGGGAGCAATATATGCTTGGCAGGGACAAAGGCCACCATAATATGGTGTGACAGTGACCTCCTTGTTTTACAAACAAGGAATCTGAGGCCAGTGAGGGCTCAGGATGGCCTGGGTCGCACAGTGCTACCCACTTATCCAGCATCAGAGCTGCTGGAAGATGGCAACTCATCACTGGCACCTAGTTCCAAGTGCAAAGGACAACTGGGCCGTGCCCGCCCCCAGGGTGCAAGTTGAGTGGCAGAGCTGGTTCACTGTAGAGGAATCCATGACCCTGATGCATGAGGGTATGCGACATGCCAAGGTTACCTCTGAGATGGGAAGAGTTGTGCCCAGGGCTGCTGTGGCTTTCTTGCCCTCTGCGGGGATGTCCCTTCCTAGTGAGCTACCTCTACCTCACATGGATGTCTGTGTTCCTACTTGACATCCCAAAGGTCCTATGCAGCAGCACCATAGCAGCTCAGTGCCACAGGGGCTACAGAAACTGTGTCCCAGGCAGACACTAGACTTCTGCAGCCCATACCCTCCTCTGTCACTGTGACCGGCTTTACATACACTGTTCCTCTGCCAGAAATGCTCTTGCCAACAAACTTCTACTCAACCTTCAAAACTCAACCCAAAGCAGCTGTCTGGACAGCCATCCCTCACTGTCCCAGGTGGTGCCCAAGCCCACCCCATGGGGAGTAGCTCCTGAGTGCAGGCCATATGACACTTACAACACAGAGAAGAGGGGTGACAACAGCCCAGCTGTACTTCATCCAGGGTCCAGGCCGGTAGCCAATCATGTCCTCGATACCATCATAGAAGTTATCACCCCCTGCAAAAGACAGCAGGGAGCTGAGAGGATGCAGCACCCAGGGTCACGCTGCCCAGGTACAAAGTGCCAGGGCATCCCTGCACCATACAGATGAGCACTTGGGCAGTCAGGGCCATGGCCCTCTGGCTTGTTTGGCAACATAGGCAGGCCCCAAATTCTATAGCAGCCACCAAGGTCTCCAGGGGTCATTTCTGGACCCCAGGGTAGGAGTCAAGGACAGCTCAGAAACCCAGGTTAACCCCTCTGCCATGTCAGAATGCCCATCACACCCCGCGCTCCAGCAGGAGGCAGCTCAGTCCCGTTCCTGCTGTGTGTAGGGAATGAGCTGAAAGGGAAGGGAGGACAAGTAGACCCAGTACTCACCATAAATCCAGGCAATAACAATACATTCAAAGAATGCAACCCACAAAAGGCATACACCGCTAGCTGCATAGTAGTCAAAGAGTTGAAACACGTACATGCCACCCTGCGGAGGAAACCACGCATGGGGTTGGTGCTGAGCTAAGTCCTTCCTATGCAAAGAGCTTAGCGAGCAATAAAACCCTAGGGCCAGGAGTGCAGCTCAGTGCTGGGGACCGCCTTCCAAGACCCCCACTTCTACCTCTAATACTAAAACAGCACTCAGGAGCCTGGGGCAGGAGGGTCTCCACAAGTACAAGGCCAGCCTAAACTACATAGTGAGACCTTGTTTCAAAAAAACAAAAAACAAAGAACAAATAAACAAGGAAAAGCAGAGACCTCAGGTCTGAGCTGGGCTGCGGATGACCAGTACCACCCTCGGCCTCCCACAGGACAGAGCACCACCCACACTCCCAGCTCCAGGCTCCAGGCTTTTGTATGTTACCTAGCACCCTCGAGGCCCTGCCAGGCCAAGGCTCCTTTCCCAGCACAGGAGGAGAAAGCAGGGACTGAGACCCAGGCACTGCCAGGTCTGGATCAGTGCTCCTGGGTACAGCAGGCCTAGACAGACTGGGACGGAGGTAGAATGTGACCAAGGGAGAGCGGGATCCAGCAGGGCACAGCAGGACCTGGCAGGGTGCAGGTGCAGGGCTGGGGATGTGGCACCACCTACCTCCGTCACCATCGTCAGCCCCAGCAGGTAGCTGATGCTGCACACAATGGCAATGAAGACTTCCCGGCGATAACCCTTCCTTAGGAAGGATGGGTAAAGATCCACCAAGGATGTGATCTGTCCCTCGACTTCGACAAACTGTGGGAGAAGACAGGCCTGAGCGGCGGCCATGACTCCCTCAAGGGCCAGACCTGACCCTGTGGTCACATGCAGGTCCTTCCCGCACTAGCACCGACTCATCACCCAGGCTCAGCTATGAACCCTGAATGTCTGGAAGGATGTGTGGACCCCAGTGTCACCAAGACAAATGCCCTCCTCATCATGGTCTTCTCCAGGCCTTGAATGCCAAGCCAAGCCACAAACTTGTGGCCCTCAACACTAACTTACTGAGTGACTCAGGACAAGCCTGGGCCTGTTTTCCCATCAGTGACCATTTAGGTAGGTTCCCAGGGCAGTCTCTGACAGTGGCAATCACCCATGTGGGTAAGCCATGGCTGTGTCTGTGACTTGGGAACCCCTCTCCAGGCTCCCAGGAAGGCCCCTCTGCAGGTAGCATTCTGGAGTGACTCTCAGGTTTACTGAGTCTCCCTGTCTTGGGGCCTCACAGTTTCTCTCAGAGATATTGCCCTGTCATTACACGGAGAATAGCCCCACTTCTCTGGTGGCAGCACAAGGCCCCACATTCTGCACATAGACCAACCAACATCAGCCCAACCTGTCCAGGTCCTGCCCTTTCTCTACCCATGACAGGAATTGGAGCTGGTTCTGCACTGAGGTCTCCGGGTGCAATACTAAGTTCAAAAGGCCCAAGGGCACAGGCTGTACTCCAGCTGCCCCAAGCCACCTGATCAAGACCCAATTTCCTTCTGCTCCTCTGGGGTTTTGTGGGGTGGACAGGAAGGGGATGCCAGTGGAGAGAAGCCCTGTCCTGCACTATGTGGTGGCAGGTGTGGAGTGGGGCTTCTGTGGGCTACAGGGACCGGGAGCAAAAGTGCAGCCGTTACAGACAATGCATGCCTCAGCATCAGGCCTTGCAAGAAAGGTCCTTCCCTTTCCCAAGTCAGGAAATTAAGACAGGACGGTCCAGGGCCACTGTACATACATGAAGGGCAGAGACTGAACCTCCTTCCCAAGCCCTCTACAGCCCCTCCAGGCTTTTCTGTGACTGTAAGGAGATGCTGAGCAAGGTCTGCAGCCAAACAGGACCCAGGTAACTGTGCTGGCTCTGGCTCCTGGGTAGAGGGGAAAGGAAGGCCTGGCTTACGGCACTTGGAGCTGATGGCTCCAGGCTGCACACCCTTGAGCATCCTCATATCAACAGTCGTCTGCTGGCACTGGATATGGAACATCTCCAGGAAGCAGGAGGGTGTTGCTATCTCCCTGTCCCATACAATGCCCTTCCTGGGGACTCAGAGCCAAAGCAATTAAGGCACTGAGCATCTGGGGACAGGTGGCCCAGGGTTGCTTTTAACTGGCTGTGTGTGGCTTTGAAAAGGACTCAGTTTCTCTCAGCCTCCGTGAAAGGAGGAGGAAGAGAGGAAGAGATAAAGAGGAGAAGGAACAGGAAGAGGAGAGAAGGGGAAGAGGATAGCATATGTTTAGCATAGGCTCCTGCTTGGGGAGGCTTGGTGTGCACATGGCTTCCCAGCATGGGAAGATGCCAATGGCCCTAGAAGCTTGATGTTGATGGGTGACATGAGCCCAAGATAACACTGCAGGTAGGGCAGGGGCAAATCTGGTGATACCTGGTACCCTTGGAATCTCGATCCTGTTGAGAGTGGCATCACTGCCAGCTGCAAACCTTCCCTGACCATCTGTCAGAGGGAGAGTGGCATCACTGCCAGTGCAAACATGCTGAGCGAGGAGCCCACTGCACACTCAGCTCGGATGCCAGCTCCTCCATGGTCTGAGTGCTGGAGGCCAGGGACCCAGTTGGCAGTAGACTCCAGCCCCTCTCTGAGTGAGGGGTGTTAACAACCTTCCCAGAGGTTTTCCAGGACATTTAGTGCAAGAGCCCTTCCTCATTGGAATGCATGACCCCAGGTCAAAGGTGGATTCTCCCTCTGGGCTCTGGAAGGGCCTGGAACTGTGCCCCTGTTGTTGACAAGTTCTGGTCTACAACCACCACATGTTTATTTGGTCTCTTCACCCTGTCTCCTCCCTGACCCTGTGAAGTTCCTGCCGATGCCTGCCAACCAATACCTAACCTTGCCAGCTACCCGCTCTTCTGGCCTCTGACAGCTATGGCCCTTGGGGAGGGAACTGGGACCACATAAGGCCTGTATCCCATGCTACCTGCCCTGCATACTACAGCCCTAGCCTGAGGCCACACACCCTCAACAGGGGCCCAGCTGGAAAGGCCAGCTTGGCCTTGGAAGCACAGGATGGAGGGCACCCTTTGTTGCACAGAGTGCATGCTCTGCGTGTATGAGGTCTAGGTGGCTCCTGGCCCCACCCCCAGGGAAACAAACTGAGTATGGGTCAAGTCCTGCTCCAAGGCCAGGACACTAGGAGGCTGAGGCCTAGATGCTGATGGAGCCTGAGGTGAGGATGACCACCTGCTTGCTGCAGTAGTCTTCTGCTGCATAGTGACTGCCTCTTGGCATAGACAGTAGCCAGAGAAGTAGGCCCATGTCACATACCCTGGCTTTGGTCATGACCTCCAGTGTCCTAGCCATTTCCCCTTGCTGGGGCACTGGGGTGGACAGGTGTCAACCTGCTGCCACTGGAGTCCTTCCCTGAGAGCAGCCGTGCAGATACCTACCTGGCTATCCAGTCCCAGCAGGAGGAGCATAATGAAAAAAAGAATTGACCAGAAGGTGGGCAGCGGCATCATGGTCACTGCCTTCGGGTAGGCGATAAAGGCCAGGCCGGGCCCTGAGGAGAGAACGGGGCATGAAGAGAGGCCATGAGCTACACAGCCTCAGACCCGGCCTCAGAGCGCTCAGGCCAAGGTCTGGCTGAGTACAGGCCAGGTCTGCTCTGTGAAGCAGGTATGCGGGACTGGACAGGGCTCCCGTTTACCTGTGTCCCCTCATGGACCTGGGGCGGGACACAGGCTCCTCAGCTGGGACCCAGGAGAGGGCAGACCCCCCCTCCCACCCCAGAGCCACCGGCCCGCAGGACAGTGGCTGGGAGTCTGCCTACTGGGGCCTGAGCCCTGGACGGACTGCAAAGAAGATGCTGCTGTTGCTGAGCTACTAGCTATTACTGCGGGACTGGAAACGAAAGAACACAGCACTATGCCTGCAGGGCAGGGCCCTCTGTGGTGCCCAGGAGGCAGGGCATAGCCTGGCCAGACATGGTAGCCCCAGCCTCATTCCTGGACCCTTGCCCAGGCCTGTTGGGGCTTGGCCTCCCCTTGGGACAGAGGCCAGAGCTGTACTCCTTCAGCTCCCTGAGGCAGCTGCCTTGAGCTTTGAAGCCAGGGCCCCCAAGGAGCCCTGGAATCACCCTGCACATGGAGATGTGGCCTCCTCCAGCCTCCATGGGACCCGAGGATGACTGGGGTTACCAACATAGCACTCTGCAAAGGCCAACCCCAGGGCCTGGCTGTAATGTCCAACCAACTGCTAAAAAGCAAAGCAAAACCACCCCAAGAAGCAAGACACAATAAGGGCTACAAGCGGGAAGCCTGGAACATGTTCTAAAGCAGACACCAGAACCACATGAATGGCTTAAGGGAAAAGAAAACCCACAAAAACAAACTTTTTTGCAAGAAATCGGAACCAGGAGTCACACTGTAGGCACGACAGTCTCTAACATGAGGGGAGGGCAAGTCTTCCACAACGCAAAGTCAGCTCGCCTGAGAACCCCGCCAAGATAGCGGCGCTGAGCATGGAGTCCTTACCACGCTCAGGCCACCCGAGGGACAAGCAGGAGACAAGGATCCAGCTCCGAAAAAACCTGCCCCTCCCAGGACCCCTGGACATACTCTGTAATGATGTTGGCATCCAAAGATACTGCATGTCCATCTGGGCGGGGAACCCTAAGGTCCCTGAATGCACAGCTCTGGTTCTGGCTGACGCACACCGAGAGAGAGAAACTGAGTCCAGCCAGATGCGAGACAAGTAAAGTGGGGTCACGTCACCCCTACCCACCAGGGTGCTGGAAGAGCCCCAACTCTCTCTGATTTTACATTTCAGCTATACGTTCCTCGAGCCTCTGGAAGTCCTCATGTCCCTCTCTGAAACCCAAAGCCACGGAAGTCCCAAGGAGGGACCAGAGCCCAGAGACTCCCGCTGTCGAGGAGCTGGGCTACACCCAACTACATGCCCACAGCTGCATAACTACATCTTCTTGTGAGCACAGCTCAAGCCGGCGCCAAGTGCATCAGAAATGTAACTGCTCTCGTTGTGCCCCTGTTCAGACGCCAGCAAAGGGTTGAGGACAAACAGACAGGAAGAAAACAACTGAGGCTGAGGCACAGAGCACCTCAAGAAGGGCGTGTCATGCCCTCACCACAAGTGGCTCTCTGGTGACTGGAGTTGGTTTCCTAGTTATCTGCTGAAAGACCACGTGAAATGGGCTCTGGTGACCTGGTCCCTGCCACTCCACCAGGGTACACAGGCTCTGGGGCCATCAGGAGGGAAAGAGTAGCTCAGAGGCTGGGTGAGAGAGGTGTGTGGGTCTGGGCAGATCCTGAACAAGGGACCACAGCCCTAGGTGTGGGAACAGAGTCATAGCTCCAGACCGGGAAGCCCAGTACACTGTCACAGCAGAAGGCTGAAGGTGGTCACACCTCTGGGGAGCAAGGGCCTGGAGAGAGACCTGTCATGTGGGAAAAGGCAGTGTGAACGGATGGGCATTTTGCCTAACCCTAACCTAACTTGAACCTAACCTAACTAATCTACCCTAACACTAACCCTAGCCTAATTCCAAACCTAACACCAAGGCCAACACCATCTGTGATATGGGCATCAGCCCAGGTGCCCACTGACCCTCTGTGTGACACTCAGGTCAGGTCTGGGGAACTGCAGTATGACCTGGTCTGCCCAGTGTGCCTGTTCTGTAGAGGTCCCAGTCACAACCTGGGCCTCAACTCAGTGTGTAGCACAGAAACTTGTGGATAATTGGTGACCCCTGCTTGGGCATGGGCACGACAGGGCATGGACAAGCCAAAGGGCTTGGGAGACCCCACCCCTTGTACCCACATCCACACTCCAGCAGCTAAGTTGTCCTGGACTCAGGTACCCAGAGCACCATGGTGGAGTTCAGTGCTCAGCCCTCCCCTGTGGCTCTGGGGTCCCAGGTCCCACATCCTAGGTTGTGGGCTCCAGGAGTCCCAAAGAGGGGCATGTGGCCAGTTGGGCCATGCCTCAGAGTGACAGTGTGGAGTCCTCTGTCTCCACCCTATGACAGCCTCCTGGGCCTTACCTCCCCATCCCTCTCCCCTTGTGCTGCAGTGGAAGGAATGAGGAGGGGGGTTGCATAGAGGTGCAGTGTGGCCAGCCCATGTCAGGACAGTGGTTTCTGTGACCAGGAAGGGATGGAGGCCACTTGCGCTCTCCCAACCTGACACCCACACTCGCTGCCCCTCGGGCCACACTGTGTGACAATCCTTGGATGGTGCCTCAGTGCAGGCGGGGCCTTTGGCGGGGGCTTCAGAACCAGGCTCCCCCCGACCCGGGGTCTGGCTTCGCGCCGGCAGCGCTGGGCTCGCACACTAGGTGGCAGTGCCCACCACCACTGCCACCGACACCACCGTACCTGACTCAGCCACATCAGCAATGTCCACCCCTTGCTCTTGTGCCATGAAGCCCAGGATGGAAAAAATTGCGAAGCCAGACACAAAACTGGTACCACTGTTGAGGCATCCCAGCAGCATACAGTCCCTAAGTCACACATGTCAGGGAGCAAGTTAATCACAGCACAGGAAGCTGGGCTCCCTACTGTCTGTGCATGGCACCGCGGCCGGCGGCGTGGCTCATGGCGCGACACTTGCCTGTACGAGTTGTACTTGTATTTGTTGTAGCTCCCCAGCGATGTCATGGCGCCCAGGCAGATGGCATAGGAGAAGAAGATCTGTGTCCCTGCATCAATCCACACCTAGGTAGGCAGGGAGAGAAGTGGGTGCCCTCAGGGCCACGCACCCTGCGGCTAGTAAGGGACCTGGTGACAATGCTTGGGTTTCCCATGCCACAGGGCTGGCATTGCACCCACCGAAATGGCAAGGAGTGACCATCTTCACAGGGCCACAGACGTCACCTTTGTAGAGCAAGGACTCCATCCCACCCCATGGAACTGGCCCTCACCTCTCAGAAAGACAGATTTGGGTCAAAGCTGCGAGTCAAGACTGCGACCCTGACCATCATGGCTGCTGTCAGGGACCTGAGTTCTTTGGGCTGTGTGGGTGAGGTGGCTCAGAGCCAGCATGCAGCTCCATGGCTGGGGAAGTGCTCTCCTATGGCTCCAGACTGGCCACCCCTCTGCCTCTTTCTTGTTCTGCCCTCAAGGGGCAAGGGACAAGGAGTATCCTCAGGTCCCATGCCTTTCAGATCTGCCCTGCATTCCCAGGGGCCACTATGATGGACTTGAAGTAGGCATCCCTGGCTGCAGGGTCAGGGCACCAGCCTGGGGGACATCTCAGGAGTCCTGCAGGAAAGATGCTTGCAGCTCTGGCTCCGAGCCCAGGATCCCCTGCTCAGCCTACCAAGCCACATACCTGTGGGTCCTCCAGGCGGCTGAGGTCGGGGTACAGGTAGAACTTGATGCCCGCACCTGCGCCGGGCAGCGTCAGCCCACGGACCAGCAGCACCAGCAGCATGGCAAATGGGAAGGTGGCTGTGAAGTAGACGACCTGCAGGGACAACAGGCAGTGGGCCGGGGCCTCACCCTGGGCTGGGACCTGGGCAGAACCTGACCCCTGCCTTGAGGATCTTAGGGATCTGGGGGAATCCAAGAATGCTCTTCTCATTACCAGAGTATCATCAAGCTCAGATGATAAGGACAAGGCTGGAACTGAGTCCCAGCCCTGTGGGATACAGCTCAGGGGGCATCAAAGAACACAACTGTTAGCTCACTTCCCATGGTCAAGGGTCCTAAGCCTGGTGCAAAGGCCATCTCTGACCTTCATTTCCTGGGGGACACTGGGCATACTGCTTAACCTCTCTGGGGCATGGTTCTCCATGTATGAAGTGGGTACACCTGTAGCCTCTGCTATGCAGGAGCCTGAGGCAGGAGGATTACAAGTTCACACCCAGCCGTGCCCTCTAAGTGAGATCAAGTCTCCAAATAAAACCGCAAAGCCCGGGGCTATGGCTCAGTGGTTGGGGCCTGGCCTAGCAGCTGTAAGACCTGGGTTCCATTCTGGTACAGACATGGAATTGCCTCACAAAGGGGTGAGAAGGCTCACAACACCATCCATAAGGCACCCAGACTCCACTTACCCAACATGCAGGGCTGAGCCCCAAGCTCTGGGATCCTAAGACCTTACCACAGCTGGTAACAGGCCGCAGCCAGCATCTTCAGCCGTCCGCTCCACCAGGACGACCCCCGCCCTACCTCCACCACCCTCCCTGTGCACATACCCTTCCTCCAGACTTGTTTCCCCAAACACTCTTAGCTCTTTTCTCCTAGCTGGGACCCCATGGTTCTCCAAGGCAGGGCAGATAGACAAGAACAAGGGCAGGTCAGGAAGTCACAGAAAAGGATGGGCCTGGCTCTTCCCTTCCTGTGGACAGGCAGGCAGGTGATTGGCAAAGCTGCCATCTTGCCCATATTACCATACCCTGCCTGTGGACAATAGCCACAGACAGCAGCCTGGCAGGCTCCCACACTTCAAAGCAGACTCGGTGGCCAGGCAGGGCCTGGGGCCTGAGGACCTGTCTGTCCCGACAGCCTCCTCTGAAGGCTGCCTTGTTTTGCAGCCTTGTGCCCCTGAGAGCTGTGCTCCCAGCTTCCCGGGCTCCCCGGGGTCCTGATGAGCTGTGCCAGGCACCACAGCGGGCCACAGTGATTTTCCACTTGCAGAGAACATCCCTGGCTGCTCCAAGCACTCGACCCCAAACCCTGAAGTCCGGACAGCCAGAAACAATTGTCACTGCCTGCTGCCTATTGGTAGGGTGGGGAATTGCTAACTCATTCCATGTAAGGAATCTGAAGCTAGGAGCAGGAAGCTAGCCAGATCTGGAAGACAGAATGGAGATCCCACTCTGATGCCCACACCCTGCTTCTGAACCCCAGACAACCCAACCCAGTGGCCTAGCTAGCCCATAGCCACATTGCCCAGGGCTCCACGCTCTAGGATGGCAGGACACGGGGTGACGCTAGGCAGGCCATCCACTACTGTGCAACACTCAGTCTCTGTCTCCCCATCTTTGCCATGGGACCCCTGGTCCATTCCAAGGGCACTCTGCCACACTCATGTGTGGAGCAACGATGCTATAGCCAGACCCCTTGGCCCTGAATGCCACAAAGGCGTCTGTGGCCGCCTGATGGGGTCAAAGCAGAGGCTGCCAGCCTCAAGGAGGTCCCCAGGGTCTGTTTGTCTTGGCTGTTTTGAGCTGCCCGGGCCAGGCCATTGTTTTGGGACCTCACCCAGCACTAGGAGGGTGTTGCTGGGTGGGGCCCCCATAAGTCACGTCTCCCTCCAGGGAACTCTGCTCTGTGCCCACTACACATCAGCCTCCTCCCTAAAGCCGAGGCTCCCAAGGCTGTGGTGGGACAGACTTCAGGGCTTTTGCATGGCCACACCCGCTGCAGTCTCCCTTCTGAACACCTGTGTTCTGCTTTGAGCCCCACTTGGCTGCCCTACTTCAAATGACACCCATGCTTCTTGCTGTCCTGTACCACACCATCCCGCCTGCATTCCCCATACTGCAGCCCTTGCTCCTAGCACATGGGGAGGCTCAAGAACTCTGAACTGCAGAGCACAGCCCCTGTGCTCCTGGGAAGTTTCCTATGTACTGTCTGTGTAGGGAAACTGAGGCAGGACAAAGAAAACAACTCATGTTCACCAGGCCCACAGTGTTGGGGATCTGAACCCTCACTAAGCTACAGATAGAGAAAATGGGGCTGAGGTGAGGGTGTCAAGGAGGAAAAGGGGCAGTGTGAGAGGTGGGAGCTCTCTAAGGAGGCTGGGACACCAACTTTCATCCCTCCTGCCCCTGTCCAGGGAGCAGGTTTTTGAGGCCTGGGTCCCAAGATGGCAACAGGACAGCTGGTCCAGGAGATGAGATTTGAGTGTGGAAGGTGCTGAGGCCTGGGAGGCATGGTCCCTGAGGCCAGGTCACTGTGTCCTAGAGGACAGGGCACCCACTTTCCTGCCTCTCTTGACCTCTCAACCCTGCAAGGGTCGCAGCCTCCTGGCTGAGCACTTGAGCCCAGGCCAAGGTGAGGGCCAGAGACTAGACCATACCTTCTACACTGGGGCTCATTCAGCCTCTTCTGTCCTGAGGGATATGTCATAGTACTGGGAAGCTGAAGCACATGGGGTACTCACTTGGGTCCCCAAAGGTGAGAGAAGGAAGCTAAGACTGTTCAACCTTGGACTCCTCATTCCCAAGGGCTGAGCCTCTATCAATAGTGAGACACAGTGGGGGCAGCCAGGCCTGCCCAACTGCACCCTCTACCTGTGCCCTCACCTGCTACCTGGGGGCTCCCCCAACTTGGGGCTGCTTCAGTCTTAAGAGTGTCTGTAACCAGACCCAGTTCAGCACAGGAGTCTCACAGGGCCCAGCAGCCTAGAGCTATGTCCCTGGGAACTAGTGTTGTCCTCAAGGCTTCCCCGTCATTCACTCTTGCACTAACTGGTGATGAGGGGGCTCTTGGCTAAGGTTTTCACTACCTGTGTCTACTTCCATGAGTGTTAAGGTCCTGCCACAGTGTCACAAGGCAGCCGTACCAAGTTCCCTAGCTATGGGGCAGCCACTGAGCGTCCCAGCTGCTGGTGGATGATATTGAGGGCAGCTCTGCTTCCCCAAGGACCAATATCAAGGTCACGGCGGAGATCCTAGCTAGAGGACACCTCGACCAATAGGCCTCAATAGCCATCCCTAGGCCATGCTGAAAACACCCCTTGCACAGGAACCCTAGGCACTGGAGCTGGGGCCTCTGCCATGTAGTTGGCTATCCTGCCCTCCCTGTGGCTCCTAGCTCAGGGCTAAGAGCACCTGTGAGCCACTCACACAGCTCATGCCACCCTGCTGGACATGGAGCCTCACAGGCCGTTTTGGTAGCCAGGAATTTCATGAACCACCTATTAAACCACAAGCAACATGAAGCAGCCACAGAGGATGTCGGTGGCCCAAGAAGGTAGGGACCTCACCAAGGCTCTGTTCCATGGCATTTGGGGGAGTGGGGGCCGCTTACCTTCCCTGTGGAGCGCACACCCTTCCAGATGCAGAAGAAGCACACCAGCCAGACAAGCAGCAGGCAGAGTGCCAGGTCCCACTTGAGCGCGCCAGGGTGGTCGATCCCAGGGGACAAGCTCAGCACATTGCGCCTGGGAGGAAGCACAGAGCCAGGTCAGTGGGCAGCACCACCCCAGGAATCTTTCTGTCCTGTCCAGGCTTCCTCTTGAGGGCCTGGCTGGGCATGTGGCTCAGTGGTAAACACTTGTCTGGTACAAGATGGCTTTCGGTGCCACTGTCAGCACCCAAAGGAGAAAGGAGAAAAGCAAAAGTGTGCATTTAGATACAGGGTGAGATGAACTGTGTTCAGCCTAGGCCAGCCTCAGACAGGTCATGAGACCCTGAGCTTCACAGTGTCATCTGTAAACAGGGATTTAGCCCTTCCTGGGGCCTAGGACAGCCTTCTTCAGCCTCCTTCAGTGTCCAGTGTGGGAAGGCTGGGTCCCTTCAGTTCCTGTTTGCTCACAACCGTGGGTTCTCCATCTGGCTCTTGTCTCACCCCTTTTCATGGTGTCCCCCATGGGTCACCCAGGTCTCCCCTAAACTGTAGTCTTCGAAAAGGTGGAGTATGCTGTGGTATCCTGAAAGGTCGAGAGGAGAAACCCAGACCAGGCCCTAAATCCAGGGTCTGGGTGCAGCTAGCACAGTCAGCCTGCCCTGTGACCAGCATGGCACTCAGAGCTCCAGGGCAGCGCCTGCTGGTGACCCCAGGTTCAATCCCCAGCACTGTAGGAAGCAAAAGTGAGAGGCCCAGAGCGGCCCCAGCACACTGTATCTCTCTTGTGGTCCTGGAGACCCCAGGAGCAGGATAAAAGTTTTAAAGGGTGAAAGCACAGAGAAGCCATCAGTCCCCCTGAGGAACACATGGCAAAGCTCATGGTGTTGCCCGCGGGATGCTGCTGGCTGAGATGACTCGACCTGCCACCCACAGATGGTACCTGCTGTGCCTGCCTGAGCCCAGCTGCCAGCTCCTGGGTGGCTCCCTACTTGAAGGCTGCAGCCTCAACAGAACATAGCGACTCTGCCTCAGTTTTCTTTTTCCTAAGTGGGAACTCATCCTTGCCTGGGATGCTACCAGGAAACCCTTGCAATCACAGTCAGGGTTCTGTCCTGAGGACATTCTCACGCCAAAACTGGCTTACATTTGACCTCCTATCTTCCAGAAGTTTACACAAGGCCTAGAGAGTTAGCTCCTGTTCCACCTCTGTAGCTCTGCTGCTCTCAGCACCAACACTGCCCCGTGCACATGGGACAAGAGCCCCTGTAGGGCTGGGTCTCTCACCAGACCCACACTGTAGAGGTGGAGAAAATGAGGCCTGCCTTGAAAGCCAGTGCTCTGTTATCTTGGATGCCAAAGTCTGATTTTAAGGAAGCTCAGCCCTGGTGTAAAAGGGCTTCCTCTGTCCTCTGAAACATGGGGCACTGGGGCTCAGGAGAGGGCCATCTCCAGGAGACCCAATGCCAGGTGTGAGGATAGAGCTGCCAGCAGGAAGAGAAGCACATGCTCCACCCCACTCCACACTCTGCCTCCACAGCCTTGGGTGGCACTGTGGGGACCTATCTGACCTTGGCTGCCACAGTCCTTCTCCCAGTGACACTGGTCAGGCTGTCCCTGGACAAGTACAGGGAAGGTGCTGGGTTACCAGAGCAAACGTCTCTCCAGGCCAGAGCAGTTCAGTCCCTACTGCACCCAGGTCAAGTCCCACTGGTCCTGCACCTGCAGCTGGCTCTTGCCACTGCCCCTTATGCCCACTCTCCTACACTGGGCAGAGCAGTGGTGCCCAGGCTGCTGTGAGCTCGTGCTGGGCAGCTGCCCACGTCACCCGTAGCAAACACCACAGGCCAGTTTTTCTATGCTGCTGGCCATACTTAGTGGGATCTCAAGGCACCATCCAGGGACACTGAAGGCAGTTCGCTCTGACCAATAAGTCTACGTCCTCCAGTCATGGCCACACATGTGGCAAGACAGTGTCTACCCTCCCAAGGCCAAGGTCCAGGCAGAAGGCCTGAATGGGAGAGGGCTCTGGACAAAACATGATGACGCTCAGCAGGACCCAGGGGAGCAAGGCATTTCTGCCCTGTGAGGCAGGGTCCCTACCTAACAATGAATTTTTTAAAAACGTATTAATTTAGACATGGAAAAAGCTGTGTCCAAGTCCACTCAAATGCCCTAGAAACGGAATGGATGCTTTTCACTGAGCACCACCATTTCTAATGCCATCCCGGGTGGCCCAAACCCTATCTGATGTCCCCGTGAGTCTCTCCATGTCAGACCCTGAGTCTCCAAGTCGCTGGGGTAGCAGCTGAGACCATGGCCTCTCCCATCCTGCACTCCGCATGGTGCGGCATTTGCTCAAGGTGATGCCTTGCAGAAGCGACTCACATGCCTCTTGACTCTCCCGGCTCTGGTGCCGAGAATAATGTGGGCAGCCTCTGCTCTGCCTTCCTGTGTCTGGGCCACAGGGAACCCTCTTTTCCACAGTTTCCTGTGAATCCTGCTTCCTACAGCCAGTGGCCCTGAGCCGTCTTACCACACAAACACACCAGGGTGGGGTCCTACATGGGTGAACTGGAGGCACTTCTGCCCCATCCCTACCTTGTCTCACACTGACCTGGGCTTCCTCCTGGCCAGGTATATCCTGCCTCAGCCACCTGTCCCTGGTCACCTATGTTAGATAAGGTCCTCACTTCTGCCCCTTCCTGGCCTTTACTTTGACCTGCCTGGGGTCCCAGGCCAGAGCCTGCAGTGTGGACATCAAGTAGTGCTCACCTGGCACACAGAGGGTGTCCACCCAACACCAGCTGAGAGAATGAAGACAACAGCTATTTGGAGAAACTGAGTCTAGACTGGCCTCAGGAAGCTACCTGACATCACCAGAGCCCACCTGGATTCATTCTGTTCTTGTCTCCCTGCAGGCACTGCCCTCCTCAGCAACAATCACTGTGACTCGGCTGGGCTGGGCCCAAGCTGCGAGCTGGACATCGGCCCCAGTCGGCCGCCGCCAGCCACACTCGAGAGGAGAAGCATGGAGTGCGGCCGATGCCTTCCTCTTGACCGCAGGCCAACCCGGCCTTGGCCGCGGGCCCCGTGACCGTGGCAACATCATGAAAGGCTGTCGTCTGCCTGCCTGGCACGAGCCTCTCCTCTGCCTCCTCCAGAGGATGCATGCAGAGGCTGGAGAAGGCCCAGGGGCAGCAGGTGGCATGCACCTGGGGAGCAAGGACCAGGGAAGCAGGCTGGGCAGGTAGGAGGGGCCTGGCTCAGCGGCAATGGGGTCCACACATCTCCATTTTAGGGCTCTGCTGGGCTGGGACTTGGGTTGCAGGGTGTGGTCATGAGTCGAGGCTCCCAGCAGACAGATGCTCAGACCCATGTGATAGGTCCTGAGCTGCGGACCTGGCCACAGGGAAAGATGGGTCAAGTGGGTGAGCCAAGGCAGGTGATGCCCCACATCCACATAGGGCTCCACCCAGGGAAGGAAGGATGCAGAGGGTAGCTGAATCACCAGCTAGATGTGGCTGTGTCCGGGGTGGGGGTCCCTGCCTGCTCTGCCTGGAGCCCAGGGTCTCAGTTTCCCCACCTCAGACCCTTGGTCTCTCAAACCCTGAGTGGCCTGGCTGGGAGACAAGATGGCTGCACTGGCAGGACAGAGCAACCAGGAACCTCCCTGTGCCAGGCCTGGTGTGGAGACCCCATGGTGTCGTTACCCCTTGAACGCTGTTTGCAAGGAGGACTGGTCATGGTGGGGGGCCAGAGCTCCTGAGGCTGGGGGCCCTGTCTGTATACTGCAAACACTCAGTCACTAGCCTGGCCACCTGCCCAGCTTCCCTGGGGAACACGCAGAGCAGACTCAATCTCATGCCTCCCCTTCTCTGTCAGTCCAAGATAACACCCAGCCTCCCCAGCCTGTCATGGCTCCCCATCCTGGCCCCGGTCCCCATCTCTGACCTATACTCCTGCTGTTCTCACCCATGCCTTTGCTGAAATGACCTCTTTTTCCTCATAGGAGGGGACTGGCTCAGCCACATGTGGAGCCAGCAATGGGGTCTATGCATCTCCATTTTAGGACTCTGCTGGGCTGGGACTTGGGTTGCAGGGTGTGGTCACGAGGCAAGGCTTCTCATGACCATCTCTTTTCTTTTTGCTTGGTGAGCTCTTACTCATCCCTCAAAGACTAGCTCCTATGTAGCCCTTCCATTTGCAGATGGGGAAGAGAGGCTAGAGAGGGGGAGGGACTTGGTGCTCAAGGCTGCATAGCCAGCTGAGTGCAGACATGGAACCAAAAAGAAAAAAGGGCTCTGTGCGGGCATTTACTCCATGAAAGCTCTCTCCCTGCTCCTCTGGACAGGGTAAAGTCACAGTAAGGGATAGCCATGCGAGGGCTCTGAGGGAAACAGCAGAAGGACTAGGGACCAGGACAGAGAATGGGGCTAAGTTGGGAGGGCAAAGCCTGAAGGTCCATTGGAGGGGTCCCCAGGCGACCATGTAGCAGGGACACTCAGGCAGGCTAGGGTGGAACCCTGGCTGTAACATGATGTCCAGGTCCAACAGGTACAAGTGGGCTCTCCTGCCCCACTCCTCAGCACCCTGGGTATCCCTGGCCTCAGCCACATACCTTCTGTGCATCTATGCCTGGCCAGCCCACACTCACACCACCACCATGCACCTGTGTCCACCTGCTGTGGACCTGCTCAGCTGTCAGCTATGCTGTAGTCCATGGCAGGTGCTGCAGTGCTCAACTCTCCCATGAAGGGACTAGGGTTGTCCTGAAGATACACTCCCAGGGCCAGCACAGATTAAAACAGCTCTTGCCCTGGGCTCACTTATCAGTTGCTCCCAAGCTGGCTGTAACAGGCCAGACTAGAGTCTGAGACTTCAAGTCATCACTCCTGGCACCCAGACATCAGCACCCATCATGGAAGAGCTAACTCAAGGGCCCACAGCTTCCTGCAGGCTCCTGCAGGAGCCCCAGGCTCATACCACCCACAAGCAGAATCAAGAGCTAACTAGCACCAGTCTACAGTTAGCAAGCTTGGAGCTGACTGCTGCACAGCAAGAGCTGACAAGACACAAGCTGGGCATGGTAGCTGGGCATGGTAGGTATAATCCCAACACTTGGAGGTTGAGACAGGAGGATATTGTGTTCAGGCTCAGCCTGGCCAACTTAGTGTGACCTTTTCTGAAAATAAAAAAACCTGGGCCGGGAGCATAGCTCAGTGGCACAGTGCCTGCCTGGCAAGTATGAGGTCTTGAGTTCAATTCCAGTACAAAAAAATAAAAAATAAAGAAAGCTCACAGATACTACAAATCTACCTTCTCACCTTTTCCCCGGAGTGACTCCTTTACCACCCCCACACGTGTTGTTCTCTGTGTAATAACAAAAAAATGCATTTTCTACAACACATTAAGATCATAAGATCATTTTTCAGATAACCTAAGTACATGTCCCTGTGTGGGGGACAGCAATCATCACAGAGACTCAGGGTATAGCAACAACTCACTTCCCTTGGGGGGACCATTGAGGAAACTAAAGCCTGCACAAGGCCAAACAGTGAGACAGGGTAGAGCTGGACTCAGCCTCAGACTGGAGCCCACCCCCACCCCACCCCCGCCAACCCAGCTTACTCCCAGAACTCGATGACAGGGGACGTGAAGTTGGTGGGGCTCGTTGTGACCCACAGGCTCTTATTCCTACGAAGTGTGTCCTCCAGGCACTTTGGCGTGTTCCAACTTTGGTTGCAGTGAGCCCAGGGCAGCTCCCGCTGGAAGGACTGGAACAGGTAGTAGGTGGCCCAGGCCAGGATGACGATGTAGTACACGTTCAGCAGCGACACAATCACAATGGACGCATAGCCAATGCCTGTAGGCCAGATAAGCACATGTCAGCTGGGGCAGGATGATACTCCTGGCCTGGGCCAGGGGGGCTTTGCCAGTAGCCAACAGGTGTCTGTGGGACAAATGGAAGACTGGGTGCAGGGACACATGTAGGACAGAGAATGGGATGGGTGGTCAGCCAGCATGCAGCTGGAAGGACTCAGATGGACACATATGATAGGCTGATGGATAAATGCACAACAGAGGGGAGGACAGGTGAAGGGATGAGTGAACAGGTGATAGAGGGATTGGCAAACTAAGGAACAAATATCACAGGTGGCTGGTGGATGAGCATATGAAAAACATAAGTGGGTGGGAGAATGAATGGGTGGGTTGGTGGGTGAAGAGAATGGTAGACAGGTAAACAGATGGGCAGGCAGATGGATAGACATATGTGGATGTCTAGATGGGTGGGCAGATAGGAGAACAGACAAATGGATGTGTGCTGGGTGGATATGCACTTTGTTGCCGGAGGGTGTGTGTACTTGGTTAGGATCTAGGTGGTGGATGAATGGTAGATAAGCAAGTAGATAAGAAGGTGACTGGTAGATGGGTAGGCAGTATAATTTACTGCAGTGAAATGAATGGATGATGGATGAGTGGGTGGGGGAGTGGATGGGTGCATTCATAAGGGACTCCCTCATATCCCATTCTTCTTAATTAAATTTAAACAGTAATTATCTGAGTGCATATTTAGAGCCAAGCATGGGACTCTGCACAACCAAACTGTGGTGCTAAGTACATTTAGCACTTAGATACAGTCATGCCACTTTATGTGCACAGCAGCCCTAACAAGTGCACCACTGTGCTTAATAAGTGAGGAAACTGAGATACAGAGTGACATTTCCAAGGCTACCTGACTATGGAGGGCAAGACATGGGACTTGACCCCAGGCAGAAGCCACCTGGCCCAAGGTCCCGGGGGAGGCATTGCCCTGAGCCAGGCACCACGCACCCTGCCCTGTCCTCCATGACCCTGCCCTGTGCAGCGCTACAGCAGGTGCCTTGGCCTCAGCCATCCCTGAGTATGAGCTCACCAGAGAAGAGAGGGCAGATCTTCTCCCAGCAGGTGATGCCACCCTCAGAGGTGTACTGGCCAATGATGACCTCCAAGAAGAAGACGGGCAGGCCACTCCCGAACAGGAAGATGAAGTAGGGGATGAGGAACGCACCTGAGGACATGTGGAACAAGGTGAGGTGTGAGGAGTACTGTGGCCCTACTGTCACTTCCTCCCGGGGACTCCACTTCTGACCTGCCAGGTCCCTGGTCACCTGCAGAGCCTTTAAGCTGTGGCTATGCCCCCTGCCACCTCCTTCAGCAACACCATCTCAGAGGCCACTGCCCAGCATGGTGAGCCCTCTGTAGGCACCCTACCGGCACTTACTAATAGGCTTAGGGGGTCTGGAAACCCTGGAAAACCATGGGCACTGGGCCTGGGGTGTGTGCTCTGCCCCTCACAGGGGGCTCCTAAAGCCCTCCCAGGGCAGCCCCCTAGGGCTAGGATCCCCAGAGATTAAGAGACTGGGTTGTAGTGGTCAGTCCCCACTACTTCTGCAGCCTGGAAGGGCACTGCCCAGAGCCCTCTCAGGCAAAGCACAAAAAGCTCAAGACCTCCACATCTCACAGATGAAGACCTACAACTTAATGTGTCTCACTGTGCATCTTCTGCCTTGACGCCTCTGTATTACAACAACTGATGCTGGCATCCCATTTATGGGGTACAAAGAAGCCAGCTGTGTGCACGGTGTTTGGTGACATCAGAAAATCCTCCAAGTCAGGAGGTGCAGTGGGCTGTTGGGAGGGAAACAGGGCCCTGCTCACCTCCACCATTTTTGTAGCAGAGGTACGGGAAACGCCAGACATTGCCCAAGCCCACGAAGCCACCTGCCACAGACAGCACAAAGTCGATCTTGCTGGCCCACTTCTCACGCTGGGGTGGCTTGCCCTCCGCCTCGTCCTCAGGCCGCGTGCCTGGGCTCTTGCCCGGTGACGGCTTCAGGATGTCCTTGTGGAAGTCCTTCAGGCACAGCAGCTTCTCCTTGGTGGCCATGGCTGTGGCTCCTGCAGGGACAGGGACAGCAGAGCACTGTGGGACTTGGAAACTGGGTGTCCCTTCTTCTAGCGCATGCCACATCAGTCACTCCAAAGAGTGAGCCACAGCACCCCCCCCCCCATGGAGCCATCATGTCCTACAAAACCCAGCAGCCCAGGCAGACCCAGCACTTGCCACAAAACAGCTGCGTGCTGCTGCCAGACACAGACAAACTTGACTTTCTGAGTCCTAGCACTCTGGAGGCTGAGGAGAAGGACTATGAACTCTAGGCTAGCTGGGGTTACACAGTGAGACTGTTTCAAAAAGAACTGAAAATTAATATTTTTTTTTTTTAAAAGACCACTTCAGTGTCACTAAGGCTTCAAGCCTGCCTACAGGGATTGTCTATTTGTGAATACCAGGATGTACCTCAGGACTCAGACCAGGAAATGGGGCTCCCACGGAGGACAGGAATGACACCTGTACAGCATGCTTGTGATGTAGGAATAGTCACATGTCCACAGCAGAAGGCACACCGTGCTTTACCAGAGAAGCCCAAGAAGTCCAAGCATCACCCTGCAGTTCAGTGGCAGCCCTTCCTGGCATGGGCAAGAGGGAGGCCCTGGGCATCTCCATCCACCTGTCTGTCCATCTGTCCACCCCACTGGCCATCAGGGCCTGACTCCCAGAGGGCAGAAATTATGCAAGTTGGGGGCTCAGGCCGAAGGGGCCATAGCTGCCCTCCTCTTGGCTTTGGCCTTCAGCTCCACAGGCTGATATGGTGATAACCAAGGTGGCTGCCTCAGCACCACACAACCCTGGTAACGACTTATCGGCTTCTTGATTCTAATTAGTGACTGAAGGCCAGGTGTCATAGCACATGCCGCTCATCCTAGCCCTGTGGGAGGCTGAGGCCAGCCCAGCCTGGGCAACTTAGCGAGACCCTATCTCAAAAAAAAAGTAAAATAATAGTTGGAGATACAGCTCAGTACAAAGACCCTGGGTTCAATCTCTAGTATGAAGAAAGAGAAAGAAAGAAAGAAAGAAAGAAAGAAAGAAAGAAAGAAAGAAAGAAAGAAAGAAAGAAAGAAAGAAAGAACAAACACTGAAATATCAGACTTCAGAGAAAAGTGACACTGTCAAGGGTCTCTGGCACCTAGAAAGGTCGGGGGCCCTATTCCTCTTAGTAATCAGAGGCAAGCTCAATCATGAAGACAATGCCAGTACACTTTCTCAGGGCAACATAAACTCCTAGGCCACAGAAGAGGCAGGGAGTGGGACGGGGAGGACAAGGACCCATCACACAGCCATGCTCCAGGGGCCTAGTGCTGTGCTGGGTGCGAGGGCAGCCAGCAGATATTGCTGGACAGGTGAACCCAAGTGGCCCCTGCCCCAGCTCCTCTGCTGTGCACACACACAGTGAACACCAGCCTTAGAGTCTTAGACCCTGGGGTGGACAGGGACAGGGACACGTGGCCAGACGGGTGCCTGGACCTGGGGGTGGACAGGGACGTGCAGCCAGGTCCCAGGGGCTGCGTCAAGGGGCAGCAGCACAAAAGCACAACGCTGTGTTTCCCCCACGCCTCCTTCCTCTCTTTGCTCGGGTGGGGACCCCAATTGTTTCACTGTCTGGCGGGGAGCAGACAGAGGCTTCCTGGAGCCCAGAGCCCTTCCTCTGCCTGGCGGGGCATCCGCACGCCTTTCTCTCCCGGCTCCCGCGGGGCCAGAAGGCTCCGCAGCCCGCGCCACTGCAAAAATAGCCTAGCCATAGCATTGTTTCAGAGAGAACCTGCGCCCCCTGATGCTTATCAGGCGGGCAGCATTGTGGCAGCAGGGTGGGCACATAATTGGAGGATGTGGGACGCGTGCAGGAACAGCCCAAGGTGGCCAGACCCACCCTTCTGGATGCTGCCTTGACTTGGAGGCTGTGGGGACATCCCAAGGTCAGCCTGGCTTCTTAGCCAGCACCATGGGGAGGGTATTGAAGTGCCAGCACCATGGGGAGGGTATTGAAGTGCCCAACCACATAGCCAGATGGACTAGAAAGGCCCAGCCTGCTTGGGGTGGGGGGAGCACCCAAAGGTCCTGCTCTGCCCACTATGGGCACTCACAAGAACCCTCAGGAAATGTGGGAATTACCTCTGGAGCTCCCTAAGACCTCATACTATACACTCTAGTGTCCTATAAAACAAGGACTGGGAGTGACAGTGCATAACTGTAACCCCAGCACTTAGGAAGCTGAGGCAGGAGGATCCCTGTGAGTTTCAGGACAGCCTGGGCTACATAGTGAGTTGAAGGCTAGCCTGGACTACATGGTAAGACTTTGTCTAAAAACAAAGAAATAAAATATGGCCCCCACCTATGGCCTGCTTGCTCCAGCCAGGGCAGGATGGCTGGCCCCCTTGTTTCCTAGGAACCTGGGAGGCCCTTCAGAGTTTATAGCTGCTGTTAAGGGCACAGGGCTCGGGGCCATCTCTGTCCCTGAAGGGTCACGTGCGTAGGGCCTCAGTCCCTTAAAGTCAATGTTCCCTTCAGGTGCTCTCCAATCTCCCACAACCACCTGGGAAGATCTGGTATCTGTGGGTTTCCACACGCACCCTACTCCTCATCACCATGGCAACCTGGCCACCCATTTGCCCCTATGCAGCTACTTAAGGTAACAGGGGAATAAAGTAGGATCAGAACCACCCCATGGCCCCCAAACTATCTCAGTCCCTGCTGCTGGCCCCAACCCTTATGCCAAGGCCTCTTCCCAGCTACTGACCTTAGGCACCTGGCTCAGCAAATCTGGTCCCCAACACCAGCTGCATCACGGGGTGATGAGGGTCACATGAAGGGTGCATGGGGCTGCCTGGATAGCGAGTGGCATGCAGCAGGCCTGCTGTCCCTGCCATCTCCAAGACTGTAATTACCACAGTCCTGCTGAGAGGGAGGCTGTGGGCAGAGGCCCTGTGACACCTACACCTCTTGATGGCATATTTGCAGCGGCCCTGCTAGGCCAGTGGCCCCCACCAGGGGCCGCCCGAGGGGCCAGAAAGTCACAGGGTCCCACCACGCCAGGGTTGCACCCTGCTGTCCCTGCAGACATGACCTGTTTTCCTTGGCATGGGGCCCAGGGTTACTTTGCAGTGGCTGACAGCTATAATTCCCCATTTTAAGAGCTTCCTCTTCAGTCACTACAGCCCAGCGATTAGGGGGACATTGGGTAAAGAAGCCCTGGCAGAACCTGCTTTATTGCCCAGCTGGAAATGCTTACTTCTTTGCTCCCAGCCGACAGCCAGATCCAGCCATGCCTGAAGGCTGGCCTGCATGCAGATCTGGCAAGTCTTGGCACAAATATGGCCCCATTCAACAGACAGCAGCAAGGCTGTGAGCTTCTTGTAAGGCATTCCTTTTCTCCCCACCAGTTTTAAAGCACCACCTTTTTTTTTTGAACCAGGGATTGAACTCAAGCCCTTGTGCTTGCCAGGGAAGCACTTATTCTACTGAGCCATCTCCCTGGCCCCGAGCACCACATTTTTTGGACAGGGTTGGTGATACAGGCACTCAGGAGGCTGTGGTAGGAAGATTACAAGTTTGAGGCCAGCCTGAGCTACATAGAAAGACCTAGACCAGCCTGGACTACAAAATGAGACTTAATTTTAAAGATAAGACAAAACAAAACAAAAAAAAAAAGCAGGAGGCTTTTGGGTATAGTACACTGGGGTGAAGTAGTTATAAACTATTTCCTACTTGTTCACCAAACTCTCAGATTAGGGAGGAAACTTTGCCTTCTTCTTCTTCTTCTTCTTTTTTTTTTTTTTTTTTTTTTTTTTTTTTTCTTTTTACAGTGCTGAGATCAAAGCCAGGGCTGTGCCAGAGATCCTGGAGGAGGAGGTGTAGCTTGGGGCCTGTGATACCCACCTCCCTCAGTGCCCTGGAGGTAAAAGCAGGACCCTGGGGAACCTGAGACCTCACTGCCTCAGTCAGCCTGCCCATCCTTGGCACCTGCCCCCCCAAATCTTCACCAACCCTGCAGTGGGGTGAGGGCTGTGGCAGGAGGGCTGGGTAAGTATGCCCTCCACACCCAGCACCCACCCACTCCACAGCCTGAGAGGCTGAGCAAATGATGTCTCTGTGCCTTGCTTTTCTTGTCTGGTGAAATCTGGAGGTGAGGGCTGGCCAAACAGCTCGGCAGATTAAAGCACCTGCAGGCAGGCACAGAGGCCAGGAGTTCGATCCCCAGGCCTGCTGTGCAGGCCCCACCCCTGAGGCGTGCTGAGATAGAAACTAAGACTGGGTGTGGTGTCGTGCGCCTGTAATCCCAGCTCTTGGGAGGCTGTAAACTGGAGAATCACTACGAGTCCGATCTAGTAGTGAGACCCTGAACACCCTGTAGACCCTTCCCTAAAATACAGAAAAAAAAGAAAAGAAATCTGGAGGTGAAAAGTCATACTCATCCTATCGGGATCAACTCAGGGCACAAAGGGCAAGTGCCTGGCTCTGGGGACAATGGCCACACACACACACCTGCATCTCTCAACATGTGTGGCAGGTGCTGTGCAGGGCTAAAGAGATGGCTCGAGGCCAGAACCAGGTTTGGGTTGTGTATGAGGAGCCAGACTGGGGGGCCTGGCCCCGTGTGCCCTGCCTGTAGTTAGTGACAAGGCCCTGCACACTGGAAATGTGAGGCCATGAACTCTAGATGGCCTTGCCTGGCAGGAAGGTGCTGAGCACAGGAGGGCTCACACACGGCATTCGGCGTCCTCCCCACACCATGTTGTGCCACCCTGAGCACCCAGGACAGACAGGGCCCCGTGCAGAGCTTCAGGCCTTCCCAGCTGACTCTCCTCAGGCGCTGCCCACCCCCTTTCTGCAACCAAGCCTAAGATGATATCACTCACCAAGGTCACATTGCCAGTCAAACCCCTGAAAAGGGAACAGCTCCTAGGTCTGTTCCAGCCTCCAACATCCTCCTTCTTGACTCCTTGAGGTGCTACCTGCATCTCTAATGAGCAATCTACTCAGTCAGGCCAGTGGGCACAGGGGT